TTGGAGTTTGACCTACTTTTGAAAAACTTTAACCTTGGCCATGACTTTTGAACGGTTGGTGTTGGGCTTTCATACTTCACAAATGTATTCCTTGTGACAAGACCTTCCTTAGATAAAAAAACAATTTTTACCCTTTGACCTTGGAGTTTTACCTACTTTTGAAAAACTTTAACCGTTGCCATAACTTTTGAAGAGTTGGGTTTAGGGCTTTCATACTTCGCATGTATATTCCTTGTGACAAGACCTTCTTTTGGATACCAACAATTTTGGCATTGACCCTGACCTTGGAGTTTGACCTATTTTTAAAAAAATAACCTTGGCAATAACATTTGAACATTTGGTTCTAGGGCTTTCACATTTCACGATCATGTGTATCACTTGTGACAAGACATTCCCTTGGGCACCATTTGACCTTGACCATGCCGATTTACTTACTTTTAAAAACTTTAACCTTCGCTACAACTTTTCAACAGTTGGTGCTAGAGTTTTCATATTTCACAGGTATATTCCTTGAGACAAGACCTTTCTTTGGGTACCAACATTTTTGATCTCTTGACCTAGAGTTTGACTTGCATTTGAGAAACTTTAACCTTCGCCATAAGCTACCATACGGGGGCATCAGTGTTTCACAAACACATCTTAATTGTTCTCTTTTAAACCATGAGCGCATGTTTGTCTATTAATTTCCTTTTGACACAACATTATTAATGCAAATATACAACTACTGTTAAACGGATAACAATAGACAAACATGCGCTGTCTATGTATAAAGTCAGTGAAAAAGTAGGCGTCCTCATCGTACGGAGATTTAAGAAATTATGATGACCCCCACATTTGAAAACAGCTTCGTACTTCGTAAATACATACTTTTATTTAATGTAATTACGTAATGTTGACTAATCCTGCAATTAAAAGAAAGAGGCTGAATTATTTTGAGAGTTTATTTTGTCGCAATTTTCGCATGTCCTTAAGTGTGCAGTCATCCTTTGTCCAATCGATTACGTTTTTGTTTTTTTCAGAAATCCGTTTGACCAGTTGCAAAAGATAAGACTTTAATGCTTCAGAAGAATTGGTTGGGAAGTTACTGAGAAAAATGAGATTTAAAATTTCCAATTTCCATTCTTCGTATCTTTCAAAATTGAATGCACAACTAGACTTTTTGTTTATAATTTTTGCAGAGTTTTATTAAAATTGTTTACTGCGAGAGCATCTGTGAGAAAATTTTATTAGGGACACTTGTAACAATGTGCCTCCCCCTCCCCCTCATATATAAGTACAGGCATCATGTCATATTGGTGGGAAAATTATCTCTGACGGAAATGGCACTCTTTAACTATAACATAGAGTAGGACCCCCACCCCCAAAAATTGAATCTGGTGTGGGATTTCCATAGAGGAAATCCTACTCTAGAGTCATTTTTCTTAGGGGGAAATCCTACTCTAGGGCCTATTTTTCGGGGACTCCTGCTTTAGAGCCAGTTTTCCGGGGGGGGGGGGGGGGGGGTTAGAGAGGAAAGCCTACTCTATAGAGTAGAGGGTGTTGTAGAGTAGGATTTCTCTCTTAGCCAGCTTTTCCCCCGGAATCTTTACTCTAGAGTAGGACTTCCCTCGAGGAGAAATCTCATACTAGAGCAAAATTCCCCCCTCTTTCTTTCTCAGAGTAGGATTTCTCCTATTACTTGGTAATCAATGTTAAAATAATATCAACAATATTTTGGCTAAAACCTTTTATGAAAGTTAACTGAATTTTTTATGGAAAATGAGTTGGTATAGTGTAAATATGTATGTTTTACCACATATGAGTTGTATAAATTGTAAAAAAAAAAATCGTAAGACTCGATATCTAAACACCTCGCTTGGCGCAGTAGTGCCTATTTGTTCACGATGGAAAGTTCTAAAATTGATATTATTGTTAGGTTCCACATACCATTTTCTGAGAACCAAAAACAAAACAATATAATGAAACACTTTTCTTACAAGCTGTAGCATACATGTGCATCTCTTCGATACTGTTATTTGAAAGCAGAGAGCAAATACTCTCTGAAAGTTTTACAAAACTCCACTTTTAGAAATTGACCCAAATTTATTTCCATGGCAACGGCAGCTATTTTGGATATGTAAACCCCAGAAACTTGAAGCGACATATTCGCATCAAATTTACGTACATGTTGTTTGAAAAACAATTGAAAAAGAAATCCATTTAAAATAAAATTTCTCCTTTTTTGTTTCCATGGGCACTGTTAAGGATTTTTCCAACCAATTGCTTGTGATAAATTATTTTTCCTTCCAGAAACCAGTTTAACCATATGAAAAGAAGGTTTAAATGCTTGAAAGAATTGGTTGTGCATTTACTGAGAAAAATGAGATTTAAAATTTTCAATCATTTTACTTCGTATGTTTCAATGGAACTGGTTGTCATTTTGAAAATTTTAATGTTGAATGCACAACTAGACTTTGATTATAAATTTATAATTGGTGTGAACTTTAATACAGGCAAGTAGGAGATTTTTTTTCTTTTAAATTAATGTGGGGGGTCTAGAAGGGTGTTTACTCACTAGTGAAGAAATTCAAACTGGAATAAAATTACAGCATATTGTTGTTGTTTTCGCCTATACTCCAGTGGTCCAAAACACGCCATTCGTTTGTAATTTAAGCTCCCCTTAAAAAACTGCATTTTCTGACACTCTAAACTTGAGGCAAGAGTGACAGGAAATTGTGCCTTTTTAAGGAGGCTAAAATTACCCCATTTTTAATTGTAGTTTTTATTCTGTATGTTCCATAGAATTGTATCTGTGTCATAAAATGTTTTCTTTTTTTTCAGCTTTCAAAAAAGTACGAACGGTTGTATAATTCCCTCCGCAAAATGCAACTTTATTAAAAGTTGTACAAATAAATACTGTAATTCCAAGATCTAAATAAAAGTAAATTGCAAAATCAGGTCAAGGTTACATGGCATATCAAAGTCAGAAAAATCGGACAATTGAATTGCCCTGTTTTTCCAGAACAGCCCCCCCGGGGGGGGGGGGGCATAATTTGAATAATTTGAACATTCTTAAATCTAAACATCCTGAGGTCCAGGGGATGCTTGCATAATTATTAATCAGACTAATCATGACCATGTTACTTTTTACAAGAAGTTTTTGAAAGATAAATTCTTTAATCCTCTGTTGTGGTTCCACCCTACCGAATTTGGAAAGAAAAAAAACCCCTTGAATTTACATAATCTGAGGATGTTTGCGTATTAAAATCACTAATCATAGTCATACTGTTCTTCAGAAGATTTTTTAAAGTTTTTTCCCTATATATATTCCAATGTTAAATTTTGATCCCCTATTATGGCCCAACCCTACCCACGTGGGCCATAATTTGAAAAAAAAAACTTGAGTATATACAACCTGAGAATACCTACAGATCAATATGATAATCATGGTCCTGCTGTCCTTAACAAGAAGTGTTGATCCCCTATTAGACTCCCACCATGGACATTATACAAATAAATTGAATCTACACTAACTACCTGAAGATGCTTGCATGTTAAAATCACTAATTATTGCCATGCTGTTTTGAGAAGAAGATTTTAAGATACACATACATCTATTCCCATGTTCAACTTTGACGTAACCCTGGGGGTCATGATTTGAACAAAACAGATGTTTCATAAAGGAAATTGTAACATAAGTATACTGTATCATTTTTTTTTTTTGCCCAAACCTGCAGATTGGGTTTCTTTTAAAAGATATTTATGCATTATTTTTTAAAGTATTTTTTGTCAGTTTACACAAAAAAAAAATAGAGAATGTGACGCTTGCGCATGCTCAGCAGCATTATCAAAAAATGCATGTGGCAATCGAACGAAGACATGGTCATCCTAAATCACTAACAAACTCTCATTTCCAGGCGATATCTCGATAAGCATTTGAGCTTTTCCAATGAAATGTTATGTCACAACTCCCTATGACCTAAAGAAGACCCCTATTGAAATTAAGGTCAAAAGGTCAAAGGTCAAGAATTCATACATTCTGTCTATGTGTAAAACTTTGGTTTCCAGGCGATATCTGAAAAAGCCTTTGAGCTTTTTCAATGAAATTTTGTACCACAATTTCGTAAGCCTAAAGAAGAACCCTATTGATTTCAAGGTCATAAATTCATACATTCTGTTTGTGTGAAACACTTTGATTTCGGGACGATATCTCAAGGAGACTTTGAGCTTTTGCAATGGAATTTTACACCACAACTCCCTATGGCTTAAAGAACCCTACTGATTTTGAGGTCAAAAGGTCAAGGTCATAAATTCATACATTCTGTCTGTGTGTAACACTTTCATTTCCTGGTGATATCTCAAGAAGACTTTGAGCCTTTTGCAATGAAATTTATGCAACACCTCCCTATTGCCTAAAGAAGAACCCTATTGATTTTGAGGTCAAAATGTCAAGTTCATAAACTCATTCATTCTGTTTGTGTACAACACTTTCATTTCCGGGCATTATCTTTGAAAGTCTATAAAATAACATTGTATGATCACAATGAACCCTGAAATAAGCATGGATGAAAAGGAGAATAACTCAATTTTCGTTTTCAACTTGGAAAAATAGTAAATTGAGTTATTTCGTTTTTTCATGTCAATATAAATTGATCAATGTGACAAAGTCTTGTGACCTGATGCGGCGGTGCCTGAGAAATTATTGGTTAATTTTTTTTGGTCTTATGACTGATGAACAATGGGCTAAACACAAGGTAGGATGAAAACATTGTAACTCAGGTGAAGCAATGAACTTTCTTCAGTTCATACATATCTACAACAAGGCACTTAATATTTATGTTCTACTTTTTGTTTTAAAAGTTTTCAAATTCAGTAACCCTTAGCTACTCAAAGTTAATGATGAATGTTGGTAATTTTCTTAATTTCTCTCATAAAATAAAGTTGTTTTTCATCTTATATGAGTTTTGTAGCAGGAATTTTCTGAAATGAGAGATGTAGTACATAAATCTTTTACAACATCACAAAGTAAAAATAACAAAACATTTTTATTTTTCAAAATCTCCTCAATCCTTTACCACTTTTATGATGCCTGGTTTTGAATTTTAGGATGCAATGTCCTTTCACAATCAAAACTTTCTTTTATCAACATCTTTTTTTCATTGTGTTGTTCACTGGTAAAGACTTCAGGCTTGTGGTGTCAACAAATCTACACAAAAATCAGAATGTGACAGATCCTGCAGGGAGACTACTGTTAATAAGTCTGTAATATCTCAAATCATTCACAAACCGATGAACACTCTGAGTAAAGGACGGCAAATCCTGAAACAAGAAACAAAAAATGTAACAAACTGAATACAACTACAGTAAAAGCTTGTTATCTCGAACTTCATGGACCCGAGAAAAGAGTTCAAGATATCCGAGGATTCAAGATATTAAGGGTAAAATACTTAAAGAACAAGTGTTTGGGACTTCCAAATCACTTTGACATATCCATGGTATTCAAGATACCAGTATTCGAGATACTGAAGTTCAACTGTATTATTTTGTCCTGCTGCTGTAAGAACTTTTATTGAAAATTTAAAATACATGCAGCACAAGTACTAAACATTACTGATTGCATTGCTTCATTGAACAATATAATAATGTTGTTCAGAAGAAAGTAATTTAACATTTAGTGCTTTGGCAGTATTTTTACATTGCTTACCTTTTCTGCTTTGAAATTGGTCGCTAGTATACTTTTTTGGTTGGCATCCAGACCCTCACATGAGGACAGAAATTGGGGTAAAAATTCGGCATAGAACCGGTTAAAGTCTACAGCAGCCATATTGTACACTGTCACTACTATCTCCTCGTGAAGTAAATCATGAGATTTTTGCACCAACACTTGCACAAGAACATGCAAAAACTGTAGAAGCATTCCTTCTCTGAATATTGACTAAAAAGAGAGCAAATATCAACTTTTATAGTCCATATGAAACAGAAAAAGTAGTGTGCTAATCACTGTTTTGTGATTATACATGTATATGTCAGCAATGCAACTAGCTCATTTTCAAAATTTGTTTGTTTAATACCAATTAGTGTTTTGAAAAAGCACATTATCTCAAGGTTCTGTTTAAAATCTTTTCCTACTTGTTATTTCAGATGTTATTTTAGTGATCTGTTTTCTTAAATAGTATGTCTGTGTAATGAAAAAAATGTGCTGCAAGGAGTTAATATGGAAAAAACATTTGTGAAATCTGAATATATTAATATTAATTCAAAACAAAGATCTCTCTTTAACAGACTTACTTTGTGGTAGAGTTTCCATTTTGTGTTGAGAGTTTCTAAAGATTCCAAATTCTGTTTAAATACGGCAAGGTCTGGTTGAAGGAATGACTGGCCATATGACTGAAAATTGAAAATCGATATAAATAAGTCTTATAAAACAAGCATTCTGAGAGTATTACATAAGCAATACTAATCCCCTACCAGCAAGTGCAATCTGGTTCCCCTTAAAAATTAAAAAGGCTGTAATTTTAGTCAAAAATCAACGGGGCAGAAGAAAATGCAAATTTGATCTATAACTCATTAAGAAAAACCCCAAAATCAGTTCAAAGTCTGCAAATGTTTAGAAAAAAAATTGCGGAAAACTAAGTGGGAAAGACTGACACACAGCTAGACAGAAGAATGGAAGGATGGATGGACAGACAGACAAGGAGGAGACCTATAGTCCCCTCTAGTAAATGGGCAATTTTCATCAGTAGGGGACTAACAAGGTGAATACAAGAGAATTGACTAAGTCATACATGGCTCGGCAAGATTCTTAAATCAATGACCTTGACTTTTTGACCGTGACCTTTGAGCAAGTTGCCAAAAAAACAAAAAAAACAAAACAAAGTAACCTAAACTGATTTACTTAAGAAATCAAGTCTTGACTTGACCTTGACCTATGTTCAAGAGATGTCTTCCTTTAACTAATTTTCATCTATGTAATACCAGTAAATTAATTAAATCTGTGCTTAAAAACAAATCCTATATTGGTGTTTGGTACCATGAAAAGCCAGAGGTTTCATGTTTGTTGTGTTCTATGTCTTATATGTGCATGTCTTGTACAAGAAGCAATATTTCAGTAAAAAAAAAAATTGCACCAAATTTGACAGGTAGCCATATACATGTACAAGCAACTCATTTGGTTGGATTTTGGTAGTTTGTGCAGGCAGTTTTAGCTGGTATCAGTGTTTGAATGATTTGTATTGTTTGCTTGTAATAGGTACAAGTGTGCCTTATTTGGTCAACATTAGATTGCAGCAGAAGTCCTTTATATCTCTCAAGTGCCCTCAGTTGAGTTTAGTGATTGGTAAATCTATTGTTGACAAGTATAAGTTTTCAGCTGTTATTTAGGCTAGGTTTTTGTGAAAGTAAATTTGTTTCAGTTCGTAAGGTGTCAGGAAATTATTTCATCCATGTGTAAGAATCAATGGAAAATTGCTAGAATGAGGGCAATCTGGGTCATATTTGAAGGTTTACACTAAATGGTTTTGGAAGGAGGATAACAGGAATGGTAGGTGATAAAACCTAGGGCTGCCATTATGGAAAAAAACACAATTTGACAATGGAAGGTTAGCGAAAGTATATATTCCTGTATTTGTATCATATGGGTTGCAAAAGATGTTAGATTTCTTAAGCAGGGGTTGTTCATAGCAGTTATTGTTAAAAGTAACAGAGAAATTTTCATTATTGTAAAAGAAAAATTCTATTATTATGGTTTACTGATATCTTATAAAGATATTGTTTTTCCTTTTCAACCCTACATAATCTTAAAAGAACTCATTACAGGAATTTCAAAGCAAAAGAATAACTAGTGCATGTCCTAACAACAAATCAAATGCCAAATACTGTGAAATCACTAATTTTCGTGGGGGTGAATTTTGGTTGTTTTTGAGGTATGAAAGACCCACAAATTCATGTCCACCATAAAACGTAAAATGTCAAATACACAATTACTCAACAATTCTTTATCCATAAAATTAAATCCCCCACACAGTTTTTTCCCTCAATTACCTCGAAAAATTGACCCATGAAAACGTGATTTTACAGTACATCTTTTATGAGAAGTCTATAAAAGAGTAATTCCTTCACCTGCATAATGGCAGTAAACTCCTGTGCATTCTGAATCTCCCCATTTCCATTCTGAGGAGTATGCTGTACATTTAATGTCTTCAGTACATTCCCCTTGAAGAAATATCTCCAGTTGTTCATCATTAACTCATGGACTAATCTATACAGACTTATTTTAATGTCAGGTGATGGACGCTATAGCAAGAAATTTAAAAAATGATTATTAACGTAGAACCTACGTCGTATGACGTCATATCTAGTAAATAAGTTTCGATTGTCTTTTTGGTGCTAGATCCATTATGACATCATAATTGATTTAATGTTGCTTTTACCCATACTTTCTCCAAGACTGTCTTTTATAATGAAGTTACACAACTGTGATAATGTGAATGGCATGCAACTATTTTGAAGGAAATCAAAAATCCTAAGAAATCTAAATAGTAGAATATCTTGATGAAATGTGTCTGAGTCAAAGATCTGTTAAAAATTGTGGGTAAATTTTGAAATGTCTATCATGAAATGACATGCATTCCCTTTCATAATTATTTGTTAATTATTCATAATGGTTGGTGTATAATAATAATGTTTCCCTAAAATATTACTAGTATCTTTTTAAATTAAAAAAAAATAAATTTTTTTAAATAAATATTCACATTGTAAATCTGAACTTAGCCCCAAAACAGTCATTTAATAATTAAATCCTATGTAAGTGCAAAAAGGTCAACAAAAGAAGTATTGATAAATAGAGTGTCTCTCATTCGATTGCAGGGAAAGGTGTATATTTCAATCACTTTTTGTAATTATTTGGGTATGTTCTTCATCATATTAAAGATTGAAAACATTCTGACAAAGACTTTAAAAAATATTTACAAATTTATGTGGTAAATCGACTCAAGAAATATTTAGCACATTTCCCTATATTCGTTGAAATGTGGACTTAATCTTTTATGTCAATTGCATAAAAAAGAATTTATTCTTGAATAATATTGCTTAATACGGTTCAGTTAATAAAGTTTATAAACAACGATGTTTAAAGAAGTATTTTTGTGATTTTCTATATTCTCTTTATGACCAGTGCCCCTAAAAATGGCTGAAAATATGTAGTTGCAGTGTAAAATTATCATTCCAAGTTGCACAGGCTGCACTACATTTAATAACAAGGAAACATACCACATATTTTTAACTGATTGATAAGCGAGTGCTAATTTATCATTTTGAAAAGTTTTGCAAATTTTGACCCCCAAAAAAGAAATGAGCAGAAGTAATATAAAAGATTCCTTTCAAGATAAAATATTTCGGGGTATTACAAATTTCCTCTTTTTCTCCCTTTATACAGATAGTTTACCTGTGCTATTATTGGATAAATCTGATCCATACATATCGATATCACATTTGGTAAGAATGCTTTGAATGCTGACCCAGGCTCTTGTACAATAAGTTCTAAAATCTTTAGAAACCTGCAAAAAAAGTGTTCTCACATAAGACCTTATCCACTGATTAGTTTTTAGAGGTTTTTAGAGGCTTTAACGTCCACATATATACATGTATATGTACTTACTTCTCTACCACTCTATGGGCAGCAGTGCTTTCATGACAGATACTTTCCGCTATCTGCTCTCTGAAAGATTTTAATTCACACTTCAGGAAGACATTACAATGTAGATGCGTATTTAAAAGAAACACACAACTAAAATTACATAACTTAAATGCTATCGCTTATAAAAATACACACGTACAGAAAAAATAATAAATCTCTCTGAATAGAAGTTGTGATAATTTAAACTACCATTTAATCACTTTATACTTAGATATGATATGGATACATACTGTGTAAAGAGGGTCATAAAGGTCTGTATTGTTTGCTCTGCAAAGACCACACCCATCTGAACCCTAAGCCCTTGGAACAGTGCTAGGAAGAAACTCATCAAGGAGTCTACCACATCTAAATATAAATAAATACAGATATTGCAAATACATGTAGTAAAACAAGGTGAAAATACATCAAAGAAGAGGGAGTAAACTACATAAAAATGACTGATGACCTATGAATTTTCAGCAGGTATTTCTCACCTGGCTGATGCAGATAGACAGGAAATACAGTCAGGGCTACATCAATAACTCCCTGTAATGACTGGTAACAGATCTGTTTACTTTTCACAACCTCTCCAGCAACATTCTCAATCCAATCCTCAAAGATCTGCAACGTCCTTTTAATTACAGATTTACCTGAAAGTAGTCCGGAATTTACAATTTCACATATACATGTACATGCATTTATTAAGTTAACAATTTACTGTGGAATTGTTCGTGGAGGTCAATGTTCATGGGTAATCAAAATTTGACTGGTTCATGGGGACATAATTTCATGGGTAATTTGCATATTTTTTTAAGATAAATAATTCAACTGCTTAATGTATGTGTGTTTCAATGTTTATGGAGATGTAAATTCATGGGTAAGGGCTACCAACGAAATCCATGAACACTGATCCCCCATGAACAATGATGATTCCACAGTAATCTACAGTCAACTATTGACATCATACTGTGAAATCATCATAGTTCATGGGGGACCAATGTTTGTGGATTTTGTGGGTTACCCTTACCCACAAATTTACATCCCCAGGAACTACATGAGTTATTTTGTCAACTATCAGTTCACTGAATCTGTATGAATGAGTCACTCACAATATAACATCTCCACAAATGAGTAAAATTTTCTTTGCCTATAAAACTTTACCCCAACAAATTAAAATGATTCCACAGTATTTACAAAACATTGTCTTGTTTGATTTCTTTCAACTTAATGATGCATTGCTGTTCTAAAGAAAAGATTTTTGTCCAACAATTTTTTTTTTGTAAAACTTTGACCACCTATTGTAGCCCCATACAATTCCTTTGATTGGTATAAACTTGAATCTACTCTACATGAAATGATTGCTTGTTGAACAACCTTGGCTCTTCTGCTCTTTAGGTGAGACTTTATATGATTTTCTTCCAATATAATTTTAATTTTTGACCACTTATAACGGTTCCATGGCAAACTAGAATTAATTTTGAACACACCCTCTTCCTGCAAGCCTTTGTTTGCTGTTAGGGCCCTAGTGTCCTTCAGCTGTAGGAAATGTCTGGCTAGCTGTCTAACAAAAGCTTGGTGATCCGCAGCTCGGCTGGCCCAGTTCTGATCTTCATCACACTCATTTGGCCAGGGTAGGATAAGACTGTGTGATAAGGCTCGGTACACCAACAACTGCACCTGGAAGAAAATAAACCAGATAGAAGGAATTTACAGAAGTTACTTCAATCAACTAATTAACCAACTTTTAATTAATGAGATAAAAAACGGGTAGATAAAGAAGCAAACTACATGTATAAATTTTTAAACTCTTATAAAAATTGTCATGAGCAGTAAGATCTGTCCTAAAATGGAAGAAACAAGTCATTAAAATGGAGGAAATTTTGTTCTTTGTAAGATTTTCTCTTCTCTACATTCCTATGTAAAACTATGCCTTTCTCTCCTCCATTCTACTCTGAGTGGCCAGGGCTTCCAGAAAAAAAAATTCTCTCTTTTTTTTTTGGTCCTGTGTGTTGTAGGAAATTTTTTAAAAGACTTTAAATCACATGTATTTTCAATTTTTGAAGGAAAGGGAGCCTTCATTTAAATGTTACATCAAATGCTCTTTTAAGAAAGTTTGGTTGAAAATTGTACAGTAATTCTGGAAAAATTAATACAGAGACAAAATTTGATCATCAGAATTCACACAAGCCAAAGGGAACTGAAAGCAGCTTTGCAACATTCATATACACTGTAGTTTTCTCTCTTAGAAAGTAATAAATGCTAGCTATTGTTTACACCCCAATCATTGTGTATGTTCATACTTCAACAGTCAGCCTGTCATATGCTCCTTGACTAGCTCGTTTACAGAGTGTTTGTGTACTGGACAGATGTAACAGGAACTTGGGCCGGACAGTAGTGGTTATGGACAGTAATAAGTGAGCACTGGAATGCACAATTTTCTCTGGTATCTAAAATGAATCAAACAATAAAGTACAGAAAATTCTATGACAAAAAAGACTTCTATTTGTCCTCATACTTTGTGTACCTGATCTTACAGGGGTTTTTTTTTTCAGTCAACAGAATCATGCAAAGTGGCACTTAGTTATAACAAACAAGCTTTGTCATCAATGATTTCTTATGGATTACTAAATCACTTTTTAAAAGCTTTGCCTCCCCCCCCCCCCCCCCCCTGAAAAAATGAATGGATAGAATTATTTGCACCTGGATTGAGGAATCATCTCTGTAGTTATTTTCTTCATATAGATAACAAGACTATTAACTAAATGCTAAATACTCATATTTAAATAACTTTTTTTCAATGTTATGCTTAACTTTTACCTCTTTTGAGAACATTGGAACAATAGAATCCAGAAGTGTAGATATCAAAGATACAAATTTATCTCTGTTCAAGTTGACTTTCTGTGTTTCACTATAAAACTGGGACAACCAGTGAGCAAAGGCCTTCACTGAAGCTATGGCTTGAGCATGTCTGCAAACAAAAAAAACAAGCAGTTTATAGTGGAAATCTTCAAAACTTTTCAGTACTGATTTTATGGAATCTGATTGGTGCATTTTTACTTACACTCCAACAAAATCTGTATGAAGAACATTCTGTATAGTCGATGTTACACTGAACAGTTGTGACTTGGAGCCATAAACAACTGTATTCACTAATCTACAAAATTAAAGAAAAATTGGCTGTCATTTAATTGTAAATGTTTTAAATTTGTAGCATCCATGCTTAGAATTTTTATGGCCTCAAGTGTACTAACTTACAGTTTACCCAGTTTACACAGAAAGTCTTACAGTTCAAATGAGGTCAAAACAAAATGTTTATTCCCAGTAACCAGACTGACTGCTTTAATAACTCCCTGCTGTTTGTTTGTTTATTCAGCATCTGCTAAATCTAAGGAGGAAATCTAACTTTCTTCAAGTATTTCCTTTCCAAATGGGGATTGCTGTTATAACCAGGCTTCCTTAAACTATATACCTGATATTACAGAGTATGGTGATAATTTTATTTACAGTTATGAATATTGCCTCAGATGATGAACACAGAATTTAACTTAATACTGTGGAATCATCAATGTTCATGGGAGACCAATGTTCATGGATTTCGTAGGTCACTTTTATCAACAAATTTATATTCCCACAAACAATTATTTTGTCAACATTTTTATACATTGAATCTTCTGTACATATGAGTTACCCAGGAAATTACGTCCCTACAAACCAACAAAATATTGCTTATTCAAAAACACTGCCCCCCACGAATTAAAATATTCCACAGTGAACATAGGCTTGAAGTACCGTGTACAAAAAGCTGATCCTAATATTAATTCTATAAAATAATAATACAATTTTGTTTTGCCTAACAGCAACAATAATATTTTCCCACCTTTCTAAGAGCATGGTGCCATCACTGAATCGCTCCAAGAATTTCTCTCCTATAAAATGTTCAGCCAATCTTCCGAGAGCTTGAAGCAGTGAGGACAGATCCCGTAAGGAGCAGTGTAGTTTACGACATTCGTTTTCTGCTGTTATTGTTAAATGTCTGCCTTGTGCATTATTCCTCACAAACTGATCCAGACCAAGATAGATATCTAGATGCTCACTAAATGGTTCATACTAAAGTAAAAAAATAAATGATGTTTTTTGTTTAAATATTCAATTTTTCAAGCAAGAAAGAACATACAGTAACTCAGAAATAACTCCATGTACTTATTAGCTATGTTCCACAGTTGTTTCCTTTATAAGTATTATTTGCACCAACTATATAATATCATTAGAATTAACTATACTGACAAACTACATTACCCCCAGAAAAGTGTTTTCCATGTGTTATAACAAGGCACAATAAGTGATCTCATAATGATGTAATGTTATATTGATCTCATAGTGATAAATGGTAAAAATAGATTTAAATAAAAACTAAACTACCAAGCATAAGAATTTAAATACATATACAAGAGTTTAAATACATACCGTATATAAGAGTTAAATGACCACATTTTGCATTGTAAAATGCACTGTCTTAATTTAAAAGATAGGAAAATTTTCATTTTGTAAGCACACCTTATGTGACATTTACAATAAGCAATGCAAAAAAAAATACCATACCAGAAGAATTCTTATTAATAATACTGAACCAATAAATGATGGAGTCCTACCAATATTCTGAATGTCTCTGCTGTGTAGATTTCTGCTACTTTAGCAACAATTTCTAAACTCTGACACAAGAAGCTTTGCCACTCTGTTTCATTCTGTTGAAAAAAGAGCAACAATTATTGTACAAAGTTTGATGTACATGTATATCAATGTACCTGATGAATGTAACAACAAAGTTTATTCCTTCAGTCTTAACATAGATAAAACCATTAACCTAACACTGATGAAATTAACTTTTAAAAGTTTTTCATTACAATTTTCACGTAAAACATAAAATTACGAAGTTAAATAAGAACATCTGACCACATTTAGTGCTCCAGACAGAGAATGAAATGTAATAATGATCAAAACTTACGTCATCATCTAGGACCTCATCATCCAGTTCCTCTAGTTGTGACTGATTATATCGGAACTGTAGTTTGTGTAGCATGTTTGACACCAGGGATAATAGGGCTTCTTGGTACCTGTAACATCAACAAACCTGAAACACTCTCCAATAAATGCACTCAATATTGTACTGCTACAGTGTATATATCCAAGCTATTTGGAAGAAATAAGCTTACAGAGGTTTTGAGCTACTGTGTCTAATTTACCTTGCTACAATGGCTGAGCTGTCCGTGGATCTCTCCTTTAATTTGTCATCCAGATAATCCAGGAATGTGTTCCATGTATCCAGACAGTTATAAAATCCCTCATTTGTGGGCTAATGTATATACAGATATTCAAAATCATCATTCTTTTCTTTAAATCAATGGTATAAAATGTTTTATAATTACCTGCAAACTGCTTTGAGAGAAAATTTTTGACAGTGACTTTAACAATACCTGTCTGAAAGTGTACTTCAACAACAGCGCCAAAAACTCTAGCACCGGGAAATGTGGATTTGATTCAAATCTCTTTAAATGTATACCAACAAACAATTTTAGAAAGTCAGTAAACTTTTCCACATAGCTGTAAAAGAAAATACATGTAGATGAATGATAGCATTTATCTTCAAATGATAAAACAAGTAAATTTTCATGGTCTCAAGTAAAACTTACTAAAGATAATTTGTTCCTTGGCTGAAAGTTTATAAATTAAATATTATATAAAATACATGCATGTTTTTAAATATAAAGCAATATACCTTTCATCTATTTCTGACAATCTATTTCCTGTTGAATTTGTTCTACTTTCTTTGGTCATTTTTTGAAGCAAGTAAAATGTCTGTTGAAACATTTGAAGGAGATAGTCTTCAAATTCTAAAGGAACACAATTTTTGGATAGGAGTTCATTGATACAGTTCATTGCTAGATTTCCTAGAACGTACGTATTAGTGCTGAAGTTAGCACTGACATTTGAACTGGATCTCCTCACTTCACATCCAAATCCAGCAAAATGAAACACAGTACTTAGTAAGGAAGGTGTTATCATTGATGATAAGGGAATCCAGCTGAAGTATTGAGCTAAACATTTCAAAGCTAGACTACACAGATTCTGGGATTCAACGTCCAAGGGAGGTAATGCTTCCAGGGGAATCCGGCTGCTAGGAGATTTAAACATGTTGCTGAGCACATTACCTGCACAAAGAAAAAAAATTAAATCAGTATAATTATTTCAAACCTATTAGAATTTAATTCTTATTGGTGTAATTTGATTTGTTATATATTAAACAAGGCACATCGTGTAAGAAACAAAGATTAATATACTATTTCATCCACTTTAATAACATTTATACATGTATATTAAATATTTACAACATATACCTACTTACTTATTGAAACTAATACTTATCTAAAATATTCTTTTTTACATTGTCTAACCATGAGACTAACCAGTGTCATTAGATTCCAGGGGAGAACTAAACAACATTACTGATGAGGATCTTCGACGGGTGGATCCATCTTCTCCTGAGGTGGGAGATGGCGGTGGTGTGGCAGCCACCAAGTGACGATGCTTCTCTAACACTGATTCCAATATATCTGGAAAATAAATTATCCAAATAAATTTTTTTTAAATTTAAAAAAAAAAAACAAAAAAAAACACCACAGCAAATTAAGGGAAGAAGCATAAATATACAATCTTAAAACTGTCATGAGATGTAATTAGCAGTTCTAGAAGCATACTGTTGATCAAGCTTAGAATTGTTGGGACTTGTCCAAGCAAAAGACGGTGCAGTTCTTCTTTTCTTGCCATGCTCAGATCTTCCCTTGGTGAAGCAAGCTCCTCTGAGGCTGTGTGCAGCAGAATGAGCCCTAGAACAGCAGTCTCTGGCTGTTGAGCAAGCTGTATGTAGAAATGCATGGTTAAAGTTAGTAATTTAATGACTTGCTCATTTGAATTTGCACAGATGCAACTGATTCTTACAAATTCATTGGTAAGCTAAATAATGATAAGAGGCTGAACAGCGGACACATGAGTGGAGGGAATGGTATAAAATTCAGTGTTATTTACAGGTAACCTGATGTAGAAGCTATAAGAAAACAAACGTAATAGTTTTGCTGTATGAAAACATAAAGAAAATATAATAAATGCATAGTGTATTAATTAGTTGAGAATTGTTGATTACAAATTAATCATATTTGGCCTGTTGAATGTGTAAACTTCCATTAAAATTAACCAATCTTGATGTTCCCAAAACAGAATTTACAGAATCAAGATACAAAAAACAAGTCAAAACATTGAGAAATGTGATATTTATATGACAGCAGATCCATTTCTCAGCTCTGGTCATATTAAGACAAATGACATGAGTGAATCACAAAAACATTAGACCATTTACAGACTTCATGGACACTGTACCAATCATCTGAGAATTGGTTTCCAACATAAAAGAGTTGCAATACATGTATCAAAATCAATTTCAAGAATAAAAAAAAGATTAAAGAAGTACCGGTAAGCACTGGGCAAAAAGCTATAAACTTACAGGTAAAAAAAAATCAAGTACATCAACATACAATGATGAGTACTTGTTTAATATTAAGACCCCTATTTGCAGGTACCTGTAAAATACTGGAGAAGAAGTCTGGATAGAAATGTGGCCAGTCTATTCTGCCGATGTCCACCACTAATTTGACTAGTTTGTTCCTGATGTATGTTGGAACTCTGTTATGGTGGTCCAGCAGGAAACGATTCAAGGTGGAGCGGATTTCTAACTTGTGCTGACCATTAAAACTGACCCACTGTTTATTGATCAAACTCTGCAAATGGGAAGCATTGACCACATTAGTTTCCTTCCTCCATTGAACAATAAAGTATTGTAAAATCAAATAAGTTGATTTTCTTTAATATAAATTACTTTAAGTAGGCTCTCAAATAAGTCTTTTTAAGCTGCAAATAATAATTAATAAAGATACCTTGTACTTTTTCCTATATTTGCCATATTAAATATTACCTCTATTGCTGTCATACAGAACATCATGACGTATTCATTGTGAGTGTTTGCCAGGTAATATAAACAATGTTGCCAGGCATCTCTGGTTTGTGTGAAATTATTTAGAATTTCCTCTACAACAAAATTAAATACTCGCATAAAGAAGAATTGGGAAACATCCCCCCCCCCCCAATGGCAATATTAAAAAAGAAACAAATTTATGTCTATAATGATATTGAAAACAATTAATCATTAACTAGTCAAGGGCAAACATAATACTAAGACTGATCTCTATCACACCTCAACATCATGAGGAGGAATGTACTAAGTTCTTAGAGGGTACCAGTGTACCAAAATTGATGTCTGTAAAACAAACTCTCCACAAGATACTAAGCTGACAATATCATCCTATGTCTAGTGTCTCTAACATTTGACCCTTGACCTTGTAACTGCAAATCAACAGGGTCATTGACTCCTTATAAGTAGCCAGTGTATGAAAGATTGATGTCTGTCATGGAAAGGGTTCTCAAAATATTGAGAGGTCAATATCTTCCTATGTCCAGTTTGACCCCCTGACTTTTGGTCTTGTGACCTCAAAATTAATAGGGGTTATCTACTCCTTAAGACAACCAGTGCACCAAACTTAATGTCTGTCTATAAGCAAAGGTTCTCAAGAAATTGACATAATTGAGCTGTCAGACAATATCTTACTATGTCTAAGTGCCTATATCATTTGACCTTTGATCTTATGCCCTCAAAATCAATAGGGGTCATCTACTCCTTAAAAGGAACCAGTGTATCAAGTTTGTCGTCTGTCAAGGAAAGGGTTTTCAAGATACTGAGCAGTCAATATCTTCTAGTATCCAGTTTGACCCTTGACCTTTGTTTTTGTGACGTACCACATAATCAACAAGTGTCATATACTTCTTAAGGGGAAGCAATGCTAAACTGATATTAAAAATTAAAAAAGTAAACTGATATGAATAAAATGTTGATATATAATAACAATAAACATGATAAACATTTCCCCTATGCAATTACTACTTCTATCACAATTAAAATTTAGCATCATTTAAACAAATGCTGTGAGGATTGCAACAGCTGCATGCATGCAACTATTACCTTTGACCTCTAGATACACAGTATACCAGCATGCTATTTTTACAGCTTCTTTATGCACAATTTTCCTTGATATTCATTTTAGCAACCCAAAATGGGTTAAGTTGTTTAAAGGACTAGTGGGAATAAAAGTTAATGTGTGTGTGCATCACTCTTCCATAATAAAGAGCTAGGTTCACTTTATGCATAAAATGACCCTGAAGATATACCAATTAAATGACTCTAACTTTATGTCCCATTTCAAACATTAATATAAAGTAGAGACTTTATGCTTTTATTTCCTATAAAAAAAAAAGTTTCCTTTAAAAGTCCAGATATTGAAAAAAAGGCATTGTGCAATTGCAATGTACTTGAATTTTAAAGAAAAGACGCTTATTTCGGTACTTTCAGTGAAGAATCAAAATATGAGCACACCCCACAATTCAAAATTGAAACAAATTTTGTAATCATCAGAAACAGTTCTATCATTATTTAAATAATTGCACATTTTAGATCAGAGGTTGCGCTCTATAAGAAATATTGAAAAATAGCTTAAAAGTTTGGCCATTTTTGCATAAGTTTCAGGATTAGGACAAATGACGCAATTTATGATGTCACACTGCATTTAATACTGTAAACCAACTTTTATTCACGTGCGAGAAATATTTGCGAGTTTCCTGACCTACTTTAACTAACCATTTATTTTGCTTTGTTTTTGTAGAGAATGTTTCCTCAGTCGCGAAAATTAATCGTCGCGGATTGATTTCAAACAGACGAATCGCAACTAAAAGTTGATGCTAATAATAGTTGGTTTACAGTAGCCGGAAAATAATGTCATTTTTTAAAGATACGCTGTCACCAAGGGTCTAAATAATATTTAATGCATTGCCAACTGAAACTAAACAGTTTCACTTTTTCAGAAATTCACAGGGTCTAAGAAGGCTCTAAGCAAACCTTGCTCTTTCATAAAAAAGGGGTCCCACCCCCCTAAAAAGGATATACACTGTATATAAATTTATCTAATAAATGTACAACAATTATTTACACCATAGAGAGGACAGAAATTTAACTTAACCACATACTTCCTAGTAATTTTTCTACTATCATAAATATTCAATTATGAATTTATGTACTTTTATCTTTATTCTTGTTTTTTATGGAGTGAAAACTGGAATTTATTTTGTTGTTTTAAGTAATGTTCATTTTATTCCATGTATTATTATTATTACTTTTTGAGGGGGGTAAACTTTGCACTTTTCCTGAAATTTGATGACTACTGTCTCCTGCCACGTGACTTAAAGCACTTAAGTTTGTGTTCATTATGTAAGATTCTAACAGGGAGAGTTGTAAAATTAAAAGTTCATCTAGGAAAATTCTATTTTATGAAATCTAAATGACAAGCATGACATTGCAGATCATCAAGTGAACATTAATACCTATATTTCTTTTTCTTTCATTTGATGTCCCTCCATCGAAGAACTCTGTCATTAAGTTCTCAAGCGCTTTAAGAGATGCCTGGTCAGAAGCCTACAATGTAAAAATGATTTAAAGAAACAATACCAAATACAATGTATATATATATATATATATTATATATATATATATATATATATATATATATATATATATATATATATATATATATATATATATATATATATATATATATTCTTTATGCAATGTCACAAAAAATTTCATTTGGTATACTTTTGACATAATAACATGCAATAGCCAAATAAATCATATGTTTATTAGATGAGATTTTTTCTAAATTCACTTAATTGATCTAATTACACATAATGTTCAGTATTCTTAATAATACATGGTTTAAGGTTATCTTTAGAATAATTAAGTCTTTGTTGAGACCATAAAGGCTGACATTTTAAGGTCAAAGATAATCATGCAGTGCCCTACAAAGATGATGCACTCAAAAACATAGCTTCTTCTCCGTAAATGTAGAACTTCTTAGAAACTTCATGACAGAAAAAAAACTAATGATCATGTAATATGAATAAAAAAGTGCTTCAATTTCAGTTTTAGCAGCTTTCATATACATATCGATATCACCACCAAGACAGCAAGCACAGCAAGTGGCGCAAAGTGCCACTTGTCACTGCGATTTCTTAAAGCAACACCTGTTCAAAGAGAAAATTCGGACTGTCTGCACACTGATCCAATATAAATTTTTCCACAGTAAATTCAATACCCATAATCCTCCATAAATTGCATATGGCACCTAAACAAATTCTCATGAAAACCAAACAAAACTTAACTTTACATATAGAAAATAAACTAACACTGATTTAATGAATATTGCACTGCCAGATAGATGGTAGATTTTTAACATTGTTTGTTAAAAATTGGACATTTCTGACTTTGTTATGGAAATATGCAACTAACAACTATGTCATGTGACGTCACCATAGACCTTCCAAATGACTCCTGAGGTTTGAAGAGGCAGATCTAAGTTAAAAGTGAATAGGTAGACTATCCAATAACACACAATTGTACTCCCCTTAACGGTTGTACAGTCAACATATTATGACATAATTACTGAATTCAAAGGTATATGGTGTTTGGTTCTTTATAATGAGGAAGTACATTCAAAAAATGTCTTCTATAATTATATCAGTCTGAAACTGCATATTACATAATGAAATGTGAAGATAACGAACAGTAATCAAGCTCAAAAGTACAAATTTGGAGCAGGGCAAACATGGACCTCAATATACATCTGAGGTGGGATGAGGTGCCATGGAGGAGTAAGCATCCCCTGTCAAACGCTCACACCTGCCATGTGCTCCTTGTCATGATGGAGCAAATGGAGAAATCCATAGACAATTTAGTGTGAAAATAATGGCCTACCAATTTTTATGAAAAACATCAGTCAACATTTGACTTAATGATTGACTGCATTTGCTGACAAGGTAATTCTATCGAGCATAGAATTTGCAAAATGCTGACTTTAAATGAAACTGTAAATATTCTTGTTTCATCAACTTATTTGTCAATAGCTTGCCTTGTTATAGAATTTATTCGTTATGGTATGTAGAGCATGCTCTTGAGTATCGAATCAATGGGAGACATAAACTCTTCATTTAATTATACAATGTAACATAGGGCAATAAAATAATGTTTGATATGTTTTTTGTTAAATGCCCACAAACAGATATGTCAACATCAATTATTTAGAATTACAAAAAAGTCAAACACTCGAAATGAATTAAGAGATCTTTATTCATCACGGCAGTTTCCTCTAGACTACTTACGGCTCAATGTTTCTTTGAGATTTAGTGGTGATCATATTCATATATATATTACATGAAAATAACTATTCGTTTAGTTTTGTATTTCACTATTAATTTTGAAATCACCAATTAAGTCAGCATCATGGAAAAAAAGTTATAGCAGGGACAGAACAGAATATTGGATCGTGATCTCTCATTTCCTGCATTATCTTCACTATCTAAAGCCTGTTTCGGGAGATTTTCTTCTTTGAAAGAAGGACTTACCATATTTAATTATTTTCTACAGATTTTCATCCATAAGTTTATTTTCTTCAATGTGAGCATATATCGCCAAGATCCAAAGAATTGCTTAAAACATCTAACGGCTCTATCATTCCATCCTATGATTCTGACCTGTCAAACGACGAGTGGTGAAAAGTCTCGAGGGTTTCCGGCAGAAGATGCGTTCAATTTACATTAAATCGTGAACTTTTTTTTCGATTCCGAATGTTTCTTATGTTAATGATTATTTTATCCATTTTAAACATAAGGATGATAAGTATTCATTCTTTCATAGGAAAAGAAATTAATGGTAAACGATTTTATTAAAAATATGTAAGTATTTAGTCGGAATTATTCCATTTGTTCATGTGAAGTTTGTAATATACCGACCACGTCAGCAAAGTGTTTGATAAAAGGATTTTAAAATGATGAAATGCCAAATACATCATTAACATTGACCAAGGTTAGAGCACGAGTTGGAAATAATAAATAAGTACCTTTATTACAAATACTGTTATTTGGTATGGATGCAGCTGGTGCAGGCGACCAGAATATGGAACTTTCAGGAGAAAAGTTAAAAGAATTGACCAATGCTATTGAGGATGACGATGATGACGAAGTGAGTGAATTGTCTTGTGGAATCAAACCTTAAACAGGTCCAGCACAATCTCTTTGATTTAAGTATATAGCTAAATGAATAGATTGTGCCAGACCTATTAAAAGAATCAAATTACATATTGATTACTGTTATTTTATAACTACAGAATCATTTATTATAAATACAGTTGAACATCGGTATCTCGAACACTGATATCTTGAATACTATGGATATTAGCTGCAATAATGTAGCCCTCTCCGATTTTTTTGAATCTGATATTTTCAGGAGGGGGCTACAATTCCACTGCAGCTCCGTAATGGTGCAAATATATTTTTTAGATACCGGCGACTGCAGGCAAAATAAATTGTTTTTGCATTCAACTTACTTCCAATGAGATGGAATTTTTATTCACGATCAACATCATAGCCCTTTATACACGAAAACCAAGTAAAATAAATCTGCGTGTTTACCAGTCATTCTTCTCAGCAGCCATGACAGTTCTCGCGTGATGTACTGAGACTTGCGCTTGAAATTTAGAATCACTTGATAAAGTAAATATCGGTGTTGATAAATGTTTGTGTTGTATGATATCACTAAACATCGATAAATAAAAGCATTCCATGAGATATTTTTGTCATATACAGTGATATTTATGCTTATAATAAAGGAAATCCTAAACGATCCACTCCCCTAGATCCCGAATTCTCATTGGTTGTCCCAAAATAAAATCGATCAAGGTCAGTAAACATGGCGGATAAATTCAAGTTGTGATGTTGACATACACGAAAAATAACTGATATATGGATTGTTCTGTATATTTTTGGATCAATTCATGTCTTGCATAACTACATTTTATAAGTTCAGGTAAGATATGTTATTAAACTACCCACTTACTGGTAATATGAGCCGATCTGTGCGGTAGTGAATTACTCCCGCACATGCACCATTACGGAGATCCTAAGGAGTTGTAGCCCTCTCCCCCCCCCCCCCCCCCAAAAAAAAAAAATCGGAGAGGGGTACATTATTGCAGCTGTATGGATATGATTTGGAAGTCCCAACCACTTATTCCTTTAGTATTTTACCTTGGATATCTCAAATCCTCGGATATCTTGAAGCATTTTCTCGGTCCCACTGAGTTCAAGATAACGAGGTTTGACTGTATTTGTTATTTATGTCATTGAACTAGCATTAAGGTTTTTAGTTGTCTGTATGAAATGACACTTCCAATCTGATTTTAGGAATTGGATGAGACATTGGTAGAGCGATTGATCGGATTAACAGAAATGTTTCCCGAATCTGTCCGAAATGTGGTCTGTAAAGCAGGATCTCTCTCATGGAGAGCCACTCAGTGGGGATTTTCCTTCAGCAAGAGTGCATTATGGGTAGCGATGTCTGCTGGGACAATACTGGTTTTACCTGTTATGTTTGAAAATGAAAGAGCACAAATGCTAGACCAACAAAAACAACAGGAAAAACAGGTACATCACCAGTTTTAAAAATTAATCATGGCTAATTAAATATGTTATCAAATTTTTCTCCCAACAAATATTTTGGCTGGTACAATAATGATTTCAACCCGGTAAAAGTACCAGCACAGTTTGAAAGACCTGACAGATAATGCTTTAAACTTGTTTATGAGTGTAGTGGGTTTAGTAGTTTCATTTTTTTTTTCTTTCACAAATTTGATAAGTTCTTAGAATAGGTTGTTTTGGGGTTATCAATAAACAATTAATTACACCTTATTTCCGAGGCCAACTTGGTGAAATAAGGATCAGAGACGTGGGTCACGAGGTGACCTGATCAAGGTCATGTAGCGGCCTAGGTCAGATCAGCGACTGGAGCAGTGGGCCAGGTCAACGGTTCTTGTTTCACCAAGTTGAAGTGATAAACAATTGTTTTATTTTACTGATATAAGATGTTTCCTGATACTGACCTTCAATCACTAGACTGGGATTTGGAACTCGAAACAATAAAGCACAACTTTTATTCATTTATTATAGTTTCCTGACAAGCAATGTTAAATATATACATGTATGTGATACTGAATGTCAGCAAGTTCCTTGATGACGATCAGAGTGGGAAGTTATTTATGTTTTTGCCTGCAAGTTTTTGCACAGCTGATTGATTGAAAATACTTTTTGTGATTTTCAGTAACATGCATTGTAATAAATTCATAATTACTATTCCTGACTACAATGAAAATTTGGGGCAAATGTTTACTATAAAAGAGAGCCAAGTCAGCATTCCTTGAATTTGACATTTTAATGGAATTTTCAATATGCAGTCGATAAAACTGTTCTTATGGGTAAAATATTAATTTTTTTAATGAATTTTGACTCATAAATTATGAATGCCAAATTTACATATTTGTTAATTTGGTGTATATAATAATGAATAAACGATTAATTTTATGACATAGAGATCCATTGTATACAGACTATGCACATTTTATAATGGTATGTCTTTTATTATATGTAAATCATTACTGTGTGCATGAAGTTTTATTTGAAGGGAATTTTGATTAACTGGTCATTATTTAGAGGTCATTCTTCATAATGACAGGGTCATTATATTCTATGTACAATGATTCACATCATGGGTCATCAAAAATAAACAATGTTAACATTTTTGAAAATTAGGTCAAACTTCAAGGTCACAGGATCAAAAATCATAGCATGCTTGAAAATGTCTTGTAACAGGTAATGCACATGTCAAATTTGAACACTCTATCCTCCCTAATTCAAAATTTATAACCAATATTAGAATTTTTGAAAAGTATGTCAAAACCTCAAGGTCAAGGTTATGGGTCAAAAATCAGTATATTTGGAAAGGTCTTGTCACAGATAATGTACATGTGAAATATGAAAGCCCCATTCAAAATTTATGACCAAATAAAAGTAATGTTAAAATTTTTGAAAAGGATGTGAAACTTCAAGGTCATGTTGTCAAACATTCTAGTATATTTGGAAAGGTCTTGTCACAGGTAATGTACATGTGAAATATGAAAGCCCTATCTTTTCTCATTCAGTAGTTATAAACAAGGTTTTGGTTTTTGTGACAGACAGACTAACAGACAGAATGTCCCCTCGCTTTTGCCAAAGCAGGGGACAATGATAATTATTTTATAGAATGTATCATAACTTTTGTTTCAGATTTTACTTGGACCTCACTCTGCAATGTCTGGGACAGGAATGTACAATCAAGGAATGATGCCTCCTGGCATGGTCCCCCCACCCCCAGCTATGCCACCTCCTACTCCATCTTCATCCTAACTTGAGAATGCCTGTGATTATTTGTGTAAACGATCAATTGTATACATGTTAATGTTGAATGTATTCAAAGTGTGTGAGTTAACATTGTGATAAAAATAAATATAAAATTTAAAATATTGTGTTCTGTACACTTAAATGTATGCTCAATATCATCAGGCAAATATAGTACAAATATGGTAGTATTTACTCCAGCATGCTAGAGGTTTACAGCATGATACTTTTGACTTGGTCCCATGACCAAGGTATAAAATGAGCATAGGGATATTAACACTTAACAGTCTCTCACTTGTAGAAGTATAATTAGCTTGTGACTAGAATTCAAAGAAATTGGGGCAACAGAGCTTGACTAGGTTGAATTTTTAGACTATCAAAATCCAGAGACAATAGAGGTCAGTCAGGTTATTCTTTTAAATTTTGTTAGTCTTCAGACTGGTTACTGATCAAGTCTCCTTAAACTTGACCAAGTGGAGCAAGGCCACAATAGAAGATCAAATTATAAGAAAAAATTCTTAAAAATCTACTAAAACTATTAGTGGCCCATGGGCCTCTTGTCATAAATACATGTATTGCCATTTCATGTAAAATGTTCCTTGAAATACTATCTCCATATACACGTAATTTCCCTATCTTGTAGCCGAATATAACAAAGTTTCTGCAAGAATTAGATGGAAAGTTAACTCTGCACATTCAGAGAGTAAAATATACCTGATATTTTATATATTTTGTGTTTTGTTAATATAGTGTTTTACTCAACAAATTTATTGCACTTATAAAACATACAGAACTCTCAAACATCCAACATAGAGCAATGTTTTCCCATTAACAATAACAAATGTTTTATGGAACAACCAATATACACTCTAATAGATTCCATGAATGAGATCAATGTATATGAGTTCTATGATATATGAGATTCCCTCAGTGGGTTGACATCATGTCTTCTTGGATTTTGACGACATTGCTTTCAATAAATTTCCTACTTTGTTGCTGCTCTTAGATTTTTTCTTTTCTGGTTTCTGTGTTGTTGAAACATTTGATGCATCTAAAACAAAAATAGTTTATTTATTAAAATAAGATGTTTCAGCAAAATTTTAAAGTAAAAATTGTGCAAAAATCAATATTATAAGATTGGCAATTTGATAATTATACAATAAATCAAAATACACTGATAGATGAAGATACATGTATGTTGCTCAAAAATGAGTGTAAGAGAAAGAAGACATCAGGAATCAACGAAATACTAGAAGTCTGTCTTGTAATCAGCAATGCAAGTGCCAGCTATACTCTCATTAGCTCACGTTAGCTGAATTAAAGCTCAAGTGAGCTTTTCTGATCTCCCATTGTCTGATGCTTTTCACATTTTCAACTTCTTCTCAAGAACCACTAAGCCAATTTTAACCGAAGTTGGTACAAAGCATCCTTGGGTGAAGGGGAGTTTTAATTGTTAAATTAAAGGGCCAAGCCCCTTTCCATGGGGAGATAATCAAGAAAAGACAAAAATAGGGTGGGGTCATTAAAAACTTTTTCTCAAGAACCACTGGGCCAGATAAGATGAAACTTATGTGGAATCTTCCTGTGGTACTGTAGATTCTAAATTGTTCAAATCATGACCCCCGGGGGTTGGGTGGGGCCACAATTGGGAATCAAAGTTTAAAATTGAAATATATAGGAAAATTTTTTTTGCAAATTTTCTTCTCAAGAGCCAGAAAAGGTGAAACTCATGTGGAATCTTCCTCAGGTAGTGTAGATTATTAATTTTTCAAATACCTGGGGTAGGGTGGGGCCACAATAGGGGATCGAAGTTTTACATTGAAATTCATAGGAAAATTCTTTAAAAATCTTCTTCTCAAAACCAATAGGGTAGGATGGGGACACAATAGGGAATCAAAGTTTGATATAGGAATATATATGAAAAAAAAATACATTTTAAAAACTGGTCTTAAGCACAGCAAAGCCATGATTAGTCATTTTAAATATAGAGGCAACTTTAGGTAGTTAGATTCAAGTTTGTTCAAAGACCCATGGATTGTGATCTGTCACTTCAATGTTATTGACCTAGATACATACTTTGATAACATCTATGATGATAAAATAGAATTTATTTTGACTTTTAAAGACTTCTATTTTAACAGAGCTTCTGAATACCAATGTGGCAATTCTTGTTATGAATAACCGACAATTTAAATAAAGGAATAAAAATTATTATTTTAAAGAAACACTATTATTTTATATTATTCCTATTTTGAGATGTGATATTAAATTAAGAACTTACAGAAATCCAAAAACTAATTTTAACATAAAATATTACTAAATAACAATATATTGATATTACTATTTAAATGATTTATGATTTAATGGACATTTTACTCCATTGTCCAGTGAATAGGCAGCTCACCCCAAAATCCAAAGGACCACAGTTCAAATCCAATCATGGCAACAATTATTTTACCAAATTTATTTTGTCAACTATGCATTATAAGTTTTAAATATAAAATACAATAAAACAATGTCATCATATCACGTATTGATCAAACTTGAATCCCTTTACCTAAGAATATTTCGTGGCAAGTTTGGTTGAAATTGGCCAAGTGGTTCTTGAGAAGAAGTCAAAAATGTGAAAAGTTTACAGAGAGAGGGACAGACTGGCGCCGGACAAAATGTGATCAGAAAACCTCACCAATGCTACATTCCTGACATATTTTTCTACATTGCACCAAAAACAGTTTAAGAAATCAACTGGTTATGTTTATTTTAAGCCTACTTCTCTTATTGTGTTTGCCTAGGACTTCAGGAGATGTAACAAGAAAGAAGGCATGGTTTGCTGCACAATTCTGTACAATTTAATCATTGAATCAAATAAAAAAAAAGCAATTATTGCTGTTTTTCAGTCAATGCAATGATTTATCCACCCTCAAAGTACAATATTTATAACCTTGATTATAGACTCTGTGAATATTATACTCTTTATGTGGCTAAATTGTCATACTGACTGAAAAAAAACAGCGATAATTGTACAGTGTATAAAATTGCATAAATGGACTAATTATGGACTTTCTTTCCTTGGGGAAAAGATTTTCTCCCTCTATATTTCTATAAACCTACACCACTCCAATATCCAAGCTGCTGTAGGATGTCTCATAAAAGGAATTTGTTAAGATAAATACTTACCAGTACTAAATCACTTTTTCCTTAATTATCTTGGCCACAGATGTAACTATAAATGCCTTAACACGGTCTTTCAAAAGATCCCTTTTCTTACCTTTTTCATCTTTAACTGCCAACAGTGTCCTCAATCCTTCTATTTCTTTTTTGAGTTTTCTATATTCCTAAATATAAAAAAAATTATATTACATGAATGTGTACTTTCTTTATCTGGATTCACAATTATCTACCTCAGTTTTCCATAACCATGATTTCACATATACTTGTACAGGAATATAAAATCTGATGTTGGATTTTTTAATCCCCAACTCAAAGAGCTGCTATACAAGTATTTTGAATTTTGTTAAATTATGAATACAATATTGAAACTAATCAAATAACATTTTTTCCTCTTCTCTCATTCTTAATCTGGGAAGTCTAGTAAAAACAAATTTATTTAAGACCAAACCCCTATGCTGATCAAAATGGCACAAATGCTCATGGTTACCTCTGTACATTTTGGTAAGTTATCAAACTCTCCACTTTCTTCTTTCTTTTCATGTTCCTCACGTTGAATGGCCTGTTCTGCTAAAAGCTTTTTCTCCTCTTGTGGAATGTAATACCCTGCTTTCTCAAATATCTTTCGTAAGTGTTTATCATACCCCTACAATGGGAAATAACAATACACCAGCTAAAACCGAAACTACAAGTTCTTTTATTTTATTAATTAGCATGAGTAATAAGTGAGCCAATTTTTTTGGGACCTATCAAATAGATTTATTGAAAACTTTCATGCTTTTTATTTAATTGCAATTTTTACTAAGGTGCTTTGATCCAATCCATTCCTGGGTTTGAAAAGTAAGGCAATCAACAAAAAGTCTTACTTTTTGGGTCATTTCCTCCCTATAGAGTTCCCCCTCTAACTGATCCCATGCCTGCTGAAGCTTCTCACTCAGAGTGGGGTAAACCAACATAGAGTCCCTGTGACAGACATAAGGGGAGGTAAATCTCATGTGGTAGTTACAGGTAGAGGGCTCTGTCACATTCACTATATCATGCTTGTCTCCACAGCTGAATATCACCTGATAAACAGAGCGCAGAATCTTAAATTCATATAAAATTACTAATGAAGTTGTCACAAGCTAGGAATATACATGTATTTACAAGTACTGGTATAATCAGAAGCAAATTAAAAGTGGGGGGGGGGGGGGGGGGGGGAGCTAAACCAAACAAAAAAAAATGTTTGGGGGACTAAGTCCCAATTTTCAATGTTTTTATTATGTTGTTCTTTGCAAAAAAAAAGTGGAACAAGAGTAGCAGTCTTAGATTGCAAAGTCACTCTACTAAGTCTATTAACAACTACCCCGGTATCTCCTACAAGAATATATATCATAATGCACAACCTTTCACAAATCCATATCATTAGTTTTCCATCACAAAATTTAATTACAAATACTGTAGAAGGGTATCAGTGGGATCACTTTTATTCCTAATTTTACTTAAGCTATTTATGCAAATAAAACTTTTGCTTTTCAGAATGAATTCTTAAAATATTGTGACTTAATTTACCTTGACAGTTCTGTGAAAATCTCCACACTTTTCTCCTTCCCTCATATTCATAGCAATAAATGTGTTATTTTCAATTTCCCATTCTTGCCATACTCTGGAAAAACAAAATAAAAAATATCATGGAAATCAATATATGTACAAATATTTAAAATAAATAGAGGATATTCAATGTTTTGTGGTTGGATATGGAATTTATTTCACGAGTGGGACAGGATTTTTTGATATTTTCACGAGTGCGAAGCACGAGTGAAAATATCAAAAAATCCTGTCCCACTCGTGAAATAAATTCCATATCCAACCACAAAACATTGAATTTTCTATTTATTACATTTTCTTTGATTTTCCCTTTGCCTCTGTCTTTTCTTAACACAATGTAATAGGCTGTGACATCATAGTTGAGCAGTTGAGACGTCATGGCTTAGCAGTTGTGAGATGAAAACATGGATTTTAGCAACATATTTGGGAAGAAATAGGCAGTTTTAGTCTTTGTCAAGATGGTTTAGTTATTATCTCATCTTATTGCAGGCCAGAAATTATATTTTACTTACTTTGATATCCTTTTCACACTATGAGAGAATATCACTTTGGTATCCTTTCACACTGTGAGAGAATATCACTTTTATTCAATGAATAAATCACAGTATTTCACTGTTGAAAATGTATTAAGTTCTTGTACATCATATACAGTGTTTATACAAGTGTATGTATACTCACACTAATCAATCAATGACTGAACATGTATCAGTCTCAATACCTTGGAAGATTAGAATTTTTGAATTTTTCACTACCTATGACAATAATTCACCCAACAGGATATTCCATCTACAATTTTCTTAAGAATATGAAAATACCTCCTTCCCCTTCTCAAGACAGTTACTTTATCAGGAGGGAAAATATGCCAAGAAATTGACAGATGCATGCCTAATCAGTCACCATATACAAGTTTTAATAGTTAATACATGAAGAACATAATACTATCTCAATCTTCACCAGATTTTACAAAACAAGTGGTACTTATCTTAATATTATCTTGAAGTTCAAATTAATTGGATTTCATACAATGTATAATATACATGTAGTGCTTTATCTTCTGGATACTTTCTGCATGTTAATTGCTGTAATAATAACAATATACCCGAGGACTCCACTGAATGGGTTCCACCTGTAGGATTGTTCATGTTGTGTCACATTGAAAAATGGACAGAACTCGTATCTGTATCTGAAAGATAAATATTTACAATAGGACATCATTTATTTCCTTCTTATCATTCTGTAACATACTGAACTGACAGGGTGTCCTATGTAAAGAATAAATAGTTAAATCTTCATGAGTTTATCAGAAAAATTAATAATAGCTATGTAGTTATAATATTATTTGATAATACATTTTTAAATTAGATCAAACTAAGGACTAAGGAAACTATGTACTGAAAAAAAAAAACAAATGGCTCAAAATCAAGCCGTCTAGTGCTAATTCTGATTATGACTGTTCTTTGTTGCATGTTATCTAGAGTCAAATCAAATAATGACTGTTGGTTTTGCATTGGTGATTGTTCATTTTGCAATTGAGTCTGTTGAGTTTATATTATAAGCTGTTTGTTTTGTATTTCAGGTTTTTTTTTTTGGCAAAATTAATTGTTTGTTTTGCATTAATGTCTTCTTTTTTTTTACCCTTTTCGCTGCCCACAGTTCATAGTAAGTGCATACTTAAACTCATTATAAGAAAATCAAATTCTCACTCATTCATCTCTTTGGAGAAACATTTCCCATACAGTCTCTTCAAATGTGTAGGGCCTGTAAAATTACTGGGCTTTATCCTCATTTTCAGTTTTTTGTCATCTACTGTGTGACTGGCAAAATTATAACTGTTTAGCCTGTAAAAAAAAATGGTAACAACACCAGCAAAAGTGTATATAACATAAAGTTTAGAATTAAAACAAGATGTGTTTGTGAAACACTGATGCCCCTCTATGGCAGCTCAAGGCCATGGTTCAAGTTCTTCAAATATAACTCACACTTCAATGTCAAGAGTTCAAAAATGTTGATATCCAAAGAAAGGTCTTGTCACAAGAAATATACATGTGAAATATAATAGCACTAGTATCAACCATTCAGAAAATATGGCCAAGGTTAAAGTTTTTCGAAAAGTAGGTCTTACTTCTAATGTCATGATGTAAAAAAAATAATGATACCAAAGAAAAGTCTTGTCAGAAGGAATGCATGTGCAAAATATGAAAACCCTAGCACCCACCATTCAAAACTTATGGCCAAGGTTCAACTTCTTCAAAAGTAGGTCAAACCCAAAGGTCAAGGTCAAAAGGTCAAAAAATGTTGTTACCCCAAAAAAGGTTTGGACACATGGCATGAAATATAAAAGTCCTTGCTCCAACCTTTCAAAAGTTATGGCCAAGGTTACTTGGGGGGGGGGGGGGGGTAGTTTGATAAATTTTTGCAAAAGTGGGTCAAACTCCAAGATGAAGGCCAAGAAGTCAAATATGTTGGTACCAAAAAATAAGTCTTGTCACAAGGCATACACATGTGAAATATGAAAGCCCTACCACCAATCATTCAAAAGTTATGAGCAAGGCTAAAGATGTTTGGTAAATTTTTGCAAAAGTGGGTTAAACTCCAAGGTCATAAAAATAGAGAAATAATAAGCTCTTACAATTTTTTAATTAAAGGGGAGGCTATCCATCCACACTTCAGATGCCCGTGACTTAACTTGTGACAGTCAGTCAGACAACAATGCCAAAACAAATATTATCTTCCCTTTGGGAGTCTGGAACTCAATGCCAACAATTTATTGGGGAGTTCTGTGCACTTCCAGTAAGCTATTGTTACTTGTAATTGTTCAGAATTTGACTTTAACATGCTGGTCAAGTAGAGCGGCCACGCCAAATCAACAACCTAGCTGGCAGTGATTTGGAATTCTAATTTTTCATATACTTAGTTGTAAATACACTGATTCTGCACTGCGCAATATGGGTGACCTCACAAAACCCAAAATCACATATCAGACCCCCAAATCAAACCAGAAATATTTTTAAAAAGTTTAAAGTAAAAACAAGAAGTCTGTGAGCCAATGCTCACTAATAATACCCCCGCTCTGATGTGAATACACAAGTTCGGTTATGGACAAACACAGTGATAATCAGGAAATTGACAACGGATTTGTAAAAACTGAATCCCAACATATGGCATGCCTAAAAAAAGATTGTGCTAAAATTTCAAGCATCTGCGATGAGTAGTTGCTGAGAAAACTACAACTAAAATTTGCTACGTATGGTACGGACAGACACATGGATAAACAGGAAGTTGACATCGGATTTGTTCCAAAAATGAATCCCATTATATGGCAAGGCTTAACAAAGATTGTGCTAAAATTTCAAGCATCTGCAATGAGTAGTTGCTGAGAAACTTACGACCAAAATTTTTTATGTATAATACAGACAGACGCACGGATAAACAGGAAGTTAACATCGGATTTGTACAAAAATGAATCCCACCATATGGCATGCCTAAACAAAGAGTGTGTTAAAATTTCAAGCACCTGTGATGAGTAGTTGCTGAGAAAATTGCGACCAAAGTTTGTTATGTGTGGTACAGACAGATGCACGGATAAACAGGAAGTTGACATTGGATTAGTACAAAAATGAATCCCACCATATGGCATGCCTAAACAAAGATTGTGCTAAAATTTCAAGCATCTGCAATGAGTAGTTGCTGAGAAAACCACGACCAAAGTTTGTTATGTGTGGTACGGACAGATGCACGGATAAACAGGAAGTTGACATTGGATTAGTACAAAAATGAATCCCACCATATGGCATACCTAAACAAAGATTGTGCTAAAATTTCAAGCATCTGCAATGAGTAGTTCCTGAGAGAACTATGACCAAAATTTGTTACGGACAGACAGACAGACAGACACACAAGGGTAAAACAGTATACCCCCCTCTCCTTCAGAGCGGGGGTATAATTAACTTGATTTAATTGAAATATACATTTAATACAATTCATGCAATAAAGGATGACTGCACTTAAGGACATGCGAAATTTGCATCAAAATAAACTTTCAAAACAAGCATTTTTCTTTTCATTGCAAGAATGGTCAACATCCAACCTACAACTTTATGTAATTACGTTTAATAAAAGTGTGTATTTACGAAGTTCGAATCTGTTTTCAAAGGCAGGGGTCATCACTATTTCTTGAATCTCCGTTCGATAATGAGGACGCCCACTTTTTTACTGACATCATACATAGTCAGCGCATGTTTGTCTATTGTTCTACGTTTAACAGTAGTTGTATATTTACATAAATAATAATGTGTCAAGAGGAGATTAATAGACAAACATGCGCTCATGGTTAAAAAGAGAAAAAACTGCTTCTTCGTACATTCGCTCTCTGTGTTGTAACCAAGGGTTGTGACATGTTGAATATTATAATTCACCACGTGATTTCGTACCTCAGGTAACTTTGTGAATACTTAATTCCGTCACGTGACTTGTAAAGTAGCATGTGTTATGCTAACTAGGACATTGTGTTCGAATAGTTAAGTCATCTGGCATCGATATAAAATCTGCTTTAATTACATTGACGTGCTGCTATTGTTAATTTCGTTTTGAAACATTTGTCGGTAGTGTATTTGTGCCATACAGAATGGAGAGGGAGATTGGAAAGAGTGATCGCGTTCTTTTTTTCAAACAAGTCATTGTTATTTATCAAGTCTAAATTTAGACCCATTCTTACAATTTTAGCTCCACCTCTCATGCATAGCGTATGTTCAATCAAGGGCAGGTAAGTGTAAATTCTCTATATTTGGAAAGCAGTAAGGACAAAAACATTGAATCATTTTATTGTATTACAGTCTAAAATCATTTTAAGATTTAAATTTGGTTCCAAATTGACAGGATTCTTTCATAAACATACAAAAGTGAAACAAGGTTTAAATATAAAAGCAACAGAAGCAACCGAAAAAGACCCAAAAACCGGCGTTAAGTGCAGTCATCCTTTGCTGAATTACTTATTTAAAATGACCTAGAATTAGCTCTAGCATATGTTAAAGCAAAAGGTCAAATACATGTAGATATACATGAAATATTCTAAAATGACTCTACGAGAACTCGCAAGTCAAATATTTTAAATATATATTTAAAAGAACACCACATTCTAAAATCCATATCATAATTGTCACATCAACCCTTGGGCCCAGCCCATATCAGGCCTCAAGTCGAAAACGGGCCACTCGGGCTGATATGACATAGGCTGTGGATTTTAGTATGTATTCTCTATACATTATATTCCTGCAGATGAACTTCTAACACCACCTGTATACCTCTTATGGCTGTGACTGTAAGGTAACATTCAATAAGAGAACATACCCATAACTTGATGGCTCCTCCACAATTTTCATGCTAACCATTTCTGAAACTATTTACTCCACAAAAGTTAGACAGTAACGAATCATTAATTAACATTGCAGCTTAATTATAATAATTATGCGCTTCTCTAAAATAAATTTTCTGCTAAATTCTAGCTTAATATTCAGGAATATATTACTTATAAATAAGTTACGAATAATCCATCAATAGTTAAGTGTAATAAAAGCGAGGATACTACTTTTACAATAACAAAAGAAGCAATGACAGGGCATTTTGAATTTAGCATTTTATAAATTCAAAACTGAGGAAATTCTAGTTAAAACGTAAACAAGTTCAAAAGATCACAAACAATATCGTAGAAAAGCATTCTTATATACCTGCAGTCCTAAAAATCAGCAAAAGCAACAACGGTAGAATTAAAATGCACTGACAAACAGCACATATACCACGCAAGTGACTCCTTCGTCGATGCATCCTTCTTTAGGCTTCTAAGCAGACATGCATGCATTGTCAGTCAGTCACATGACCTCAATATGGCTGCGCCCATTGAGGAATGCTTGTTTGAGTGATTATTAATTGATAATTAAAAAATGGGCAAGAGTAACAAACAAACTGGAGGGAAAAAGAAGTTTCATGATAGGAGACGACAAAGGGATGAAAAGTTTGATGTTGAAAAATGTAGCAGTAAAATGGCATCGTGTCAATTTGGTGAGACAGCTCAAAATATTTGCTGATGTCACAATGTATTTTAACTTGACATTTCCAAACCAGAGAAGTAATTGCTACTGTTAATTTTAAAAAATAAGTAAATTAGGAGAATCTTTTTATTATCGCTTTAAACCGTTATAAGATGTGTGCAAAGCTTTAGTGACGTCCAGCTGAACTGAAACACGATGAATCTACAATATACTAGAAAATTACTAGACTAAATGCATATATTATATTGTGGAGGTCGTGTAGACAGGTACAATCACAGGTGGCCAGAGAGCTGAGTAAGTAGAGCTAATCTGTCTAGAGTTTAGGGTCCCCGGGTTCAAATCCTGATCTGATATCAATCTGTCACAATATATTCTAGCTATAAACCTGTAACATTTAATACAGTGAAACTTGACATCTAATCCGGACACCAATGGTTCTGTAACAGGAAAGGAGAAAATGCATGGCTGGACTGGGAATCGAACCCGGAACCCCTGCATCACTAGTCAGGTGCTCTACCAACTGAGCTACGCAGGCCGATATCCACGACCCAAACCATTACATTCCTCCCTCCTTAAATTGTCTTTGCCCTCGAAGACACAACCCAAGTTCTTAGTTACCCCTGGCAGGACTTTCACCTGCGAGTCCAGGGGTGGTCAACGGCACCAAATTTGTAACAGGAAAGGAGAAAAGTATGGCTGGACCGGGAATTGAACCCTGGACCCTGCATCACTAGTCAGGTGCTCTACCGACTGAGCTACCCAGGCAAATATCCATGACCCAAATCATTACTGTTCCAAAGAAATTGGCCGGTTTAGACAAAATTCTGGATTAAACCACATTTTAAAGAATTGAATTTATTGAAAGGCCGGGGGCTTATAATGTTTACATCATATTACTGGGTAAGCAAGATTTCGGAATACACAACATCCGGATTAGACAAATTTCACTGTAATTTGCTTCACTAGTGCACCCCTGGACTTGCAAGTGGAAGTTAAACAGGTTTTGCATGATTGCCAGTACTGGTAGATAGCTCAATTTGTAAAGCACCTGTCTAGAGTTCAGGTTCAGGGTTTGAATCCTCATGGTCTGGTCTGTTGCATATTTCTCCCTTCTTGTTAGATTTATAGCTGTTGACCACCTCTGGACTTGTAGGTGAAAGTCCCGCAGAGGGCAAAAGATCTGATTTGGTGTCTTCGAGGGCATAGACATTTAAGGAGGAAGGAATGTGGCGATCGCGATCAAACAAGCAACATAAATTTTCGTTTTCACTGTATTGTAAATATATTGAGAGTGAGTCATTTGCACTGGAGTCTGCTGATCTGAAATGCAAGAAAGCATGATTACATTTGGCAGTCTGTGTCTCTTTCTCTCTCAGTGTGTGTTTCTGTCTCACCTATTTGGTGAATTTTAGATATATATTTTGATTTTTGGATCTATGAAAAAAAGAATTTACGGTAGTGGGCGCCTAAAAAATAGATACAAACATAATTAATAGCTTGATCAAAAAACAAATCTTTACAAGTAATATTAAGTATGTACAATTTACCATTCACTGACAGGATTTATTTTGACATTTTCTATTAATCTACAGCATAATTAAGGAGATTGATTTAAATTTGGTTTAGACAGTGACGAGGAATCCCCATCCTATGCACCTGAGAATTTCCCCTGTCCATTAGGTATGTGGGATTTAGAACACTGTGATCCGAGGAAGTGCAGTGGTAGGAAGCTGGGACGTTTAGGATACGTTAAAACACTGAGGCTCCAGCAGAGGTTTAGCGGACTGATACTGTCACCCATGGGAATCAAATGTGTGTCCCCAGAAGACAGGTGAATGTTGAAGTAAAACATTGTAATGAATGTCATCCAAACTTCAGTTGAATTAAATATCTTTTTGAATGCAGAGTGATATATATTACATTGTATTTGTGGATAATATTATCAGTAATATTTATAGGTATACTATTTGTTAAGGAAAGTCAGATATTTGGAAGTAACAAGCATTTCTTTATTCCAAACCTGTACAGCCAGCATTTGAAGTTTATGAAATAACAAAAGCATCAATTCTTTGAGCTGATCTGACTCTCTATATAGATCTTGTACACTTATCTAAAACTGATCTTTCTTATTAAGGGAAATTGTGACTCAGAATGGAGTGGCAGTAATAGATTGCTCCTGGGCCCGCTTGGAGGACACACCCTTCTCCAGAATGAGGGGAGGACATCCTCGACTGCTCCCCTACCTAGTGGCTACAAACCCCATCAACTATGGAAAGCCATGCAAACTGTCTTGTGTGGAGGCATACGCCGCAGCATTTTATATCACAGGTAAGATTAATAGTACTGTGGAATCATTAGATTTCATGGTGGCTCAATTTTCGTGGAATTCATGGGTACCTCTCATCCACGAATTAACATCCTCCATGAATTAATAAACTAGGGGTACAAAGTCATACTTCCTTTTATAGGTAAAGAGAATACACAAAATTACGTCCCCACAAACCTGTCAAATTTAAGAAATCCACAAAAATTGGCCCCCACAAATTTTAATGATTCCACAGTAACAAAATTTTTCCATTTTCCTCTCCTCATGAAAATAGTGACGATAGTTGCATGGAAAGGTATATATAGTTGATTTACGTTAATTTGAAGTGTTTAGTTACACAGTACAGTCAAATCTTGTTATCACAAACTCAATGGGGCTGAGAGAAAAACTTAAGATTATCTGAGGATTTGAGATAATGATGTTAAAATATATAAAGAAATAGTGGTTGGGCCTTCCGACTCAGTTACACATATCCATGGTATACGGAATATCGATATTAGATAAACCAAAGTTCAAATATATTTTGCTTTGTTCATGCATGAACAGTATTAGGGTCCAACATTAAAGATACATTACATTGGATATTGTAGGATACAAAGAACTTGGTGATATACTGTTAAAGAAGTTCAAATGGGGGCATACCTTTTATGAAGTAAATCAAGAACTGCTGGAGAAATATGCTAAGTGTAAAGATAGCACAGAGGTTGTGGCAGCACAGAAAGAATACTTAGAACAGTTAGAAGTGGAACACAACCAACCAAAACAAGGTAGAAACTTTAACAGAGTAGTAAAGATATTTTTCCAATCCTTTTGGAATACACATATGTATTATAATTATGCAATAATATGTTCACACCGGTACAGAATTAATTAAATATGTGTCTATATATTCTATAAAACCATTATTTGATGTGTGGGAGTAAAAAATAATAAATATTCCAAATACAGAGAGACGTAAAAAAAAAAAATTGACTTCATTTTCAAATGCAAGTATTTGAGTATAACCATCACTTTATACCTTTTTATTGCAAGATCTGACAGACATCAATATGGATCTGGAATTCTGTAATCCAAACAGAAGAGTGGGAGAGATGCCACCCACAGACAGGTATAACAGTACAGGCATGATTGAATTGTACACCTTGACTTATAGTTTTTTTTTTACATACTGTGCATGCTGCTATTGTAAATGCCTGTGCAGTTAATATATCATTATTACTTTAATAGAATTTAAAGAAAATTCACATCAATAGTAAGTATCAGATCAAAATATTTTGAATTTCAGTTCAGAGGAGAGTGAAGAGGAAAGCGGAGAGGAAGGAGACAAGGATTCTGGTGATGACTGCAATAAAAGTGATAATGCATGTGGGGGCACCAAGGAGAGGGAATCCCCTCAATCACAGTCTCAAATGCAACTAAAGACGGAATCTCCCCAAACTGACAATGACATGAAAGAATTGGGTTAATTTATGTATAAAGTAAACTTTCTTCATGTAAATAAATTTCATCAGTAACTCTGTATAATCTCTTTGACTTTATATTTCCCCAGAATGATAAACAACAGCCTTAATTAGTATATATTGGAATTTACTTTTGAAATATGTATACCAAATGATGTGGATAATTTGTTTGTTTGTAGTATGTATTATGACAATAAGATGAGAGCTCCATCTGTAAGAAAAAATAAAGTATTTAAATGCAGATTTTACTTTATACACTTTCAAATTTAGAGGTAACAGGTGTTAAACTGTAGGAAAAGATTCCCACTAAATCTGTTATGGCAGAGCTTTGACAATTTGAACATTGTACTACATTATAAATCTTCATGACACTGGTGTCAAAATTGTGTAGCTAATTCATACAGAGGCCTCTTAATAAGCACTACATAGTTGAGGGGACTTGATGATGTAACAGATTATAGATTAAAGAAACAGATTAAGAAAAATATCTACAGAGGTGTTTTTCATACTGTTTATCTGAGTTGATAACTGACAAATTTACAATGAAAGGAAAGATAATATTGTTAACAAGCAATTTCAAAAAAATGTGGTCCCCAGCTTTAGATGTCTTAGTGGTTGGGATGCAATTGTTTATGGCATATTGTAACCATTTTGTTTGTGTGCCCTGTCTTGTATGTCCATCATACAAAAGATATAAATTATTGAATTAATAAAAGTTACTGCAAAGATTGAAGCTTCTCAAAATGCATCAAACTTCAAGGTCATGAGGTCAAATATCATTATACAATCCAAAAGGTGTTGTCAAAAGTAATGCATATGTGAAAAAAATTTGAAAGCCCCATCTTTTCTGAAGCAAAAGTAATGACCAAAGTTAAAATTTTTGATAAGTAGGTCAAACGTCTAGGTCAAGGTCATGAGTCAAACATAGATAATCAAAGATTACGAAGCTCACCTCGACGAATGTTATCAGTAAAAGTAATGCAAATCTCACATCATATTTTCTTTATAGTTAACGTGCATCCTGAAAACAATATTCATGCAAGTTCTGTGTAAGTAGGTCTTATAGTTTGTTGGGAATTGACCTGCTCCAAAAACTTTAACCTGTTCACTAATCAAGAAAATGTCTTTCATTTCCTACATCCGAAGCAAGTCTGGACCATCTATGCAAGTTAAATCATAACAGGCCATATAATTTTAGAGCTACTCCAAACACATTGTCATGGTTACTCATTTGGAAAATGTAGGTCAGATCCAGCATCTGAAGCAGGTCTGGTAGTGCCCATCCCTAGATACATCATCCATGCAAGTTTAGTCCAGGGAGGGCTTATAGTTACTTGGGAATGGACCTGCTCCAAAAACTTTAACCTAGTCACTCATCTGGAAAATGTAGGTCAGATCCAGCATCCGAAGCAAGTCTGGTAGTGTCCATCCCTAGATGCATCATCCATGCAAGTTTGGTCCAGGTAGGGCTTATAGTTACTTGGGAATGGACCTGCTACAGAAACTTTAACCTGGTCACTCATCTGGAAAATGTAGGTCAGATCCAGCATCCGAAGCAAGTCTGGGAGTGTCCATCACTAGATGCATAATCTATGGAAATTTGGTCCAGGTAGGGCTTATAGTTACTTGGGAATGGACCTGCTCCAAAAACTTTAACCTAGTCACTCATCTGGAAAATGCAGGTTAGATCCAGCATCCGAAGCAAGTCTGGTAGTGTCCATCACTAGATGCATAATCTATGCAAGTTTGGTCCAGGTAGGGCTTATACTTACTTGGGAATGGACCTGCTCCAAAAACTTTAACCTGGTCACTCATCTGGAAAATGTAGGACAGATACAGCATCCAAAGCAAATCTGGTAGAGTCCATCCCTAGATGCATCATCCATGCAAGTTTAGTCCTGGAAGGGCTTATAGTTACTTGGGAATGGACCTGCTCCAAAAACTTTAACCTGATCACTCATCTGAAAAATGTAGGTCAGATCCAGCATCCGAAGCAAGTCTGGTAGTGTCCATCCCTAGATGCATCATCCATGCAAGTTTGGTCCAGGTAGGGCTTATAGTTACTTGGGAATGGACCTGCTCCAAAATCTTTAACCTGATCACTCATCTGGAAAATGTAGGTCAGATCCAGCATCCAAAGCAAGTCTTGTAGTGTCCATCCCTAGATGCATCATCCATGCAAGTTTGGTCCAGGGAGGGCTTATAGTTACTTGGGAATGGACCTGCTCCAAAAATTTTAACCTGATCACTCATCTGGAAAATGTAGGTCAGATCCAGCATCTGAAGCAAGTCTGGTAGTGTCCATCCCTAGATGCATCATCCATGCAAGTTTGGTCCAGGTAGGGCTTATAGTTTCATGGGAATAGACTTGCTCCTAAAACTTTAACCGGGACGCCGGCGCTAACGCCGACGCCAACGCCGGGGGTATAGCATAAGCTCATCTCGACTTCGTTGAGGTGAGCTAAAAATGATACACCTTTCTGAAAGTGTTGTCATATGTAATGTATGTGTAAAATATAAAAGCTCTATCTTCTCTCATTCAAAAGTTATTACCAATAAAAAAGATGATGCATTTTGTATTCAAGATTTATTTGAAATAATTGAAATGAAAAAAAATATTTGCAAAATTGGCCATGCATTGAATGAAAAATATTCTTTGTACAATGGAATTCCTGGATAGAGGTAAGCCACTGGGAAGCATACATACACACTGGACAACAATTAAGCATAATAAATATTATATTTCTATGGAAAGTGAGACAGTCTTTGTAAACAAAAATTAGCTAGTACACATACTCACAACCAAAATATTTAATGTCATTGATCAAAATAATATAAATACATGTATATGGATTTCAAATACTAACATACAATGTATGTCTAAATACACATCAAAGTTAATGTAAAACAGTTTGACTGCTTTTGAGAAACAAAAAAAAATCTAATATAAAAAGAGGTCATCACATTCAATTGATTTCAACTTATAAGAAATATAGTGTATGTAAAAAAAAAAAAAAATAATAAATTGAATACATTGCTAAAAATGGCACAAGTAAAAAGATCAATTTTAACCATAGAAAGAAAATCTTAAAAAATTATACATGCTAGTAAATGTACATGTACCTGTATACATGTATATCCCTTTAATGTAGTACATGTATTTAGAACTTTATATAAAATGGAAGTACAGATGTACTTCTAAGACACTACTTCCACAGTTTCTGGTAAAAGTGATTTGGCTTCTTGCTCCTTGCTGTAGGTCATATTCAGAAAATCATCAAATGATGTTTGAAACACTATGCTTTCCAATGCTCCCAGCAAAAAAGTCCAGCTGTTCAATTAAGATTAACAGAAATTGTACATGTCATGCTACATATAACTTAACTGTAGTTAAAATGTAAGTGGTTTATATATTTATCTATATTTGAGAAATATTACCTTCTATTTATAAGGCTAACTTTCTTGGTAAAGAATTCCTTGACTTTCTCCAGTACTGTTTTCTTTGTTTCCTCTTTTTTTCGTCTCTCCATCTCTTGCTTTACATCTTCAACCAATGGGTCATGTCTAGACATCCCCTTTTTGACAGCTGCAGCTAAAATAATACTACACTGCTGCTTCAAATGCCCAAAATTGTTCAGAGTTCAAACATTTCTTATAAAGTTCTGATCACTAGGGGTGTAAACAATTTACAAGTATATTGCGTTCCCGTTTTGCACACATTTGATAATTAGGTATAGAACAATAGATGTGAAATATATTTGGATAGCAATTATAGTCTGGTCTCCATCTGGGATTTACCTGGAATTTACCAAATTATTTTGATATATATGTGAAAGAATAATTTTTTGAAAATTTAACTTGTCCAACTTAACTGAAGATAAAGTTGATAAATGAGACAAGTATCCTTATTGCAGTTCCCCTATGTATTGCGATATTTAACATTATAAGACATTTGTATTATTTATTCTTAGTTGAACCTATTAATAAAGGCAATTTTTTTAAATTTAGTTTTGCTGCTTATTATTGAGTTTCAGAATTTATTAATGCTAGAACTTGATGAAAATTATTTAATAATTAATCTTCCTTTTTTGAAAAAAAAAATTATCCTTTCACTTCGTGATAGAGAGTTTCTCAATTCAGAACAGAAAGACACAAATTATAAAAGATTCTTAAAGGTAAAATATTGCAATTTGTATCATGATGGAGTTACAGAGTATCATGATATATCACAAAAGGCTTCAGTTATATCGTTACACCCTGTATAGTGATTATGTTTCTAATTTTTTTTTTCTAGCAATCTTCATTCTTTACACACTGCAAACAATCTACACTGCTTACCTGCACTGATGTTTTTATCACTCATTATTTTCTCAACTTTCTCCACCTTTTCCATAATTTCAACATGAGTGGTGTTTACGTAAATGTACATGTAACAGGAGGGTCCCTCAGACACGGTGTAAACTTTGTGAAACTTTCCAGGGGGCACCTACAAGAACATCAACACATCTTTTAAATTAAAACTCAAATATTTTACTAAATGATACCAATCATTTGGGGAATTTTGCTTGCTTGGAAGGGGGGTGGGGGGGTGGGGGGGGGGGCTTCATGATGGCAAATGAGTCCAATTTAACCCTTAAATCCTGAACCCTTTAAACTTCTGTCCTTACATTACAGAAGGTGATTAGATATAAAAACATTTAGATGAATTAGCTTGGGATGGTTTTAACTTTAATTCCATGTACTGCAAATCCCATTTTATTCATAAGCATTTTACTTGCTCATAATTTGCAAAAAATAAAAAGCAAAAAAATAAACTTTCTGTCAATAATAAGTTAAACATGTATTGCTTGTTATTTATTAAACAGAGGATTTGAAAAAAAAGTGTCTTCATGGTGAATAAATACAATGCTATGATCAGGTGTCTCAAAAAATAAGGCAACATGAAATCTCATCTGAGGGCATAATTAAAAATAAATCCCTTATACAATTCTTATGATTTATCTACATTTTCTTTGAGATATGATAAATTTTCATTGTTTTCTAATTACAAATATTCTTTACCATGAAATGACACAGAGAAAAGTTGTTCAACTTACCTGAATTTTGTCTCCAATATTTAAGCTGACATTCTTTTTCTTGTCTACAAATTCAACAACGACACTGCCTGATAGCAGGGTGATGCTGGTATTACCTAGATCTTCTTGTATGAAAGCCTCCAGATGTAGTCCTGTTATATAAACATTTATATATTAATTTTGAAATTATTCCCCATCTCCTTTCTGTGGTTGAATAAAAAATACTTTTTGTGGGGTTTTTTCCCATGATAAACTTGACTTGGAATATGAGAGACCTGCAAAATCTGTCACTGTTGTTTGAACCAGAATTACAAGTAAAATTGCACTTCAACAGTCCTTGTTAATTGGCAAACTATGTTTAGAAAAAAAATTAATAAACTAAATGGGTTACCTGGAAAGTCAGCCACAAAAACCACATCTGTGTAGTTTGATGTGTCTACCAATTCATTCTCCATCTCTGCAAGCTTTGATCGCCATGGTGATAAATCAAGCAGAAGAGGCATTGCAAAGGAAACTTCCCTAAAGGGAGACCACTCAACATCCACAATATTTACCCTTGGATCAAATATTCTGTAAAATACACATTAAAATATGTACCTACTACTATTAAAAAATAAATAGGAAAGAAATGACAAAAACTCACAAAAGTCATCTCAAAGTTGAAACATTTCACTTTAAATACTGTCATCACTTTTGACTGTAACGAAATTTATTTGTCATTTTGATACTGCAAATACCGATACATGAAAGAAAATATTAACCTTTGTTGGAATCTTCTATTCATTGACTTCCAAATGTCAAAGTAGAGTTCCACTGACATGTTATAATTCTTTAAGATGTCTGCCACACAGTGTGCATACTGGACCACCATATCACCATGACTACTCCACCGCCTTCCTGTTTTGTCAACAAATGCCTGCCACAAAATAAAGTATGTGTATTGTGTATGACAGTATAGAGGAAGCATCAATAGAGATACATGTATCATCATCTACACAAAGCATTTATGAATGAAATCTTTAGAAATATCAATAAGAAATATAGAAGTATGTGAAATTATACAAAAATTAAAATCTTTGTTCTTCTCTGGATACCAAAAATTGCACTAAGTCTTTAATTTTTCATATTGCTAAAACCTATTTATAATGCAGAGAGTATGTTGTGATGTTTAAGTACAATGTATGCATATGCATAGTCTAGTGGCAAAAAAGAATGCAATTCAAACAACATTGGTAGTGTGTCTGTATATACCCTCAAAATGGAAAGATTCACTTGACAACTTGATCATATAAAACACTTAGCCACATTCTTTATACAGTAAATTAATCATCAAGATGTACTAACACTGAGCCACACTCATTCTACTGTAAATTAATCCCCAGATATACTAACACTGAGCCACACTCATATGACTGTAAATTAATCCTCAGATAAACTAACACTGAGTCACACTCTTTATACTGAAAATTAATCCCCAGATGTACTAACAATGAGTCACACTCTTTATACTGTAAATTAATCCCCAGATATACTAACACTCAGCCACATTCTTTATACTGTAAATTAATCTCACAGATGTACTAACACTGAGCCACACTCTTAATACTGAAATTTAATCCCCAGTTATACTAACACTGAGCAACATTCTTTATACTGTAAATTAATCCTCAGATATACTAACACTGAGCCACACTCATAATACTGTAAATTAATCCCCAGATATACTAACACTGAGCCACACTCTTTATACTGTAAATTAATCTCTCAGATGTACTAACACTGAGCCACACTCTTTATACTGTAAATTAATCCTCAGATAAACTAACACTGAGCCACACTCTTTATACTGTAAATTAATCCTCAGATATACTAACACTGAGCCACACTCATAATACTGTAAATTAATCCCCCAGATATACTAACACTGAGCCACACTCTTTATACTGTAAATTAATCTCTCAGATGTACTAACACTGAGCCACACTCTTTATACTGTAAATTAATCCCCTGATATACTAACACTGAGCCACACTCTTTATACTTGAAATTAATCCCCCTGATATACTAACACTGAGCCACACTCTTTATACTTGAAATTAATCCCCCAGATATACTAACACTGAGCCACACTCTTTATACTTGAAATTAATCCCCCAGATATACTAACACTGAGTCACACTCTTTATACTGTGTAAATTATTCTTCAGATGTACTAACACTGAGTCACACTTTTATAAAGTTAATTAATCCTCAGATATACTAATACTGAGCCACACTCATAATACTGTAAATTAATCTCTCAGATGTACTAACACTGAGCCACACTCTTAATACTGTAAATTAATCCTCAGATAAACTAACACTGAGCCACACTCTTTATACTGTAAATTTATCTTCAGATAAACCAACACTGAGCCACACTCTTTATACTGTAAATTAATCCTCAGATATACTAACACTGAGCCACACTCTTTATACTGTAAATTAATCCCCAGATTTACTAACACTGAGCCACACTCTTTATACTGTAAATTAATCCCCTGATGTACTAACACTGAGCCACACTCTTTATACTTGAAATTAATCCCCCAGATATACTAACAATGAGTCACACAATTTATACTGTAAATTAATACCCAGATATACTAACACTCAGCCACATTCTTTATACTGTGTAAATTATTCTTCAGATGTACTAACACTGAGTCACACTTTAATACAGTAAATCAATCCCAAGATATAGTAACACTGAGCCACACTCTTTATACTGTAAATTAATCCCCAGATATACTAACACTGAGCCACACTCATTCTACTGTAAATTAATCCCCAGATATACTAACACTGAGCCACACTCTTTATACTGTAATTAATCCTCAAGATGTTCTAACACTGAGCCACACTCTTTATACTGTAAATTAATCCCCAGATATACTAACACTGAGCCACACTCATTCTACTGTAAATTAATCCCCAGATATACTAACACTGAGCCACACTCTTTATACTGTAATTAATCCTCAAGATGTTCTAACACTGAGCCACACTCTTTATACTGTAAATTAATCCTCAAGATGTTCTAACACTGAGCCACACTCATTCTACTGTAAATGAATCCCCAGATATACTAACACTTAGCCACACTCTTTATACAGTAAATTTATCCTCAGATGTACTAACACTGAGTCACACTTTTATACTGTAAATTAATCCACAGATATACTTACACTGAGCCACACTCTTTATACTGTAAATTATTCTTCAGATGTACTAACACTGAGCCACACTCTTTATACTGTAAATTAATCCCCAGATATACTAACACTGAGCCACACTCTTTATACTGTAAATTAATCCCCAGATATACTAACACTGAGCCACACTCTTTATACTGTAATTAATCCTCAAGATGTTCTAACACTTAGCCACACTCTTTATACAGTAAATTAATCCTCAGATGTTCTAACACTGAGTCACACTTTTATACTGTAAATTAATCCACAGATATACTTACACTGAGCCACACTCTTTATACTGTAAATTATTCTTCAGATGTACTAACACTGAGTCACACTCATTCTACTGTAAATTAATCCCCAGATATACTAACACTGAGCCACACTCTTTATACTGTAAATTAATCCTCAGATGTAAGAACACTGAGCCACACTCATTCTACTGTAAATTAATCCCCAGATAAACTAACACTGAACCACACTCTTTATACTGTAAACAAGAAAACTGTGAGCCAATGCTCACTAATAATACCCCCCGCTCTGATGTGAATACACAAGTTCAGTTATGGACAGACACAGTAATAATCAGGAAACTGACATCGGATTTGTACAATAATCAATCCCAACATACGGCATGCCTAAACAAAGAGTGTGTTAAAATTTCAAGCATCTGCGATGAGTAGTTGCTGAGAAAACTGCCACCAAAATTTGTTATGCATGGTACGGACAGATGCAAGGATAAACAGGAAGTTGACATCGGATTCGTACAAAAATGAATCCCACTATATGGCATGCCTATACAAAGGGTGTGCTAAAATTTCAAGCATCTGCAATGAGTAGTTGCTGAGAAAACTGCAACTTAAATTTGTTATGTATGGTACGGACATAGGCACAGATAAACAGGACGTTGACATCAGATTCATACAGAAATGAATCCCACCATATGACATGCCTAAACAAAGAGTGTTTTAAAATTTCAAGCATCTGCGATGAGTAGTTGCTAAGAAAACTGCGACCAAAAATTTTTTATGTATGGTACGGACAGACACACAGATAAACAGGAAGTTGACATCAGATTCGTACAAAAATGAATCCCACCATATGGCATGCCTAAACAAAGAGTGTGTTAAAATTTCAAGCATCTGCAATGAGTAGTTGCTGAAAAAACTGTGACCAAAATTTGTTATGGACAGACAGACACACAGACAGATGGACAGACAGACAGACACACAAGGGTAAAACAATATACCCCCTTCTCCTTCAGAGCGGGGGTATAATTAATCCCCAGATATATTAACACTTAGCCACACTCATTATACTGTAAATTAAGCCTCAGATAAACTAACACTGAGCCACACTCTTTATACTGTAAATTAATCCACAGATATACTTACACTGAGCCACACTCTTTATACTGTAAATTATTCTTCAGATGTACTAACACTGAGCCACACTCTTTATACTGTAAATTAATCCCCAGATATACTAACACTGAACCACACTCTTTATACTGTAAATTAATCCCCAGATTTACTAACACTGAGCCACATTTTTATACTGTAAATTAATTTCCCAGATGTACTAACACTGAGCCACACTCATTCTACTGTAAATTAATCCTCAGATATACTAACACTGAGCCACACTCTTTATACTGTAAATTAATGACCAGATATACTAACACTGAGCCACACTCTTTATACTGTAAATAAATCGCCAGATATACTAACATTAGGGTCCAGATATCCCACTTTTCCTGAAATCTTGTCTTTGTAGGAGAGTCTTATGTGCTGTGTTGTCCAGGAATGGACCATCATATCCCAGGAGTAGCCATAAAGCCCATTTGTCCAATTATTGTAACCCTAAATCAAACATAAATTGCCATATAAGCATGTTCCTAATGAATTTAACTTATATAATTAGTTATAGTATTATATTCCTTACAGTTTACTATCTCTCCTGATTCTTAAATTGTGAATTCATTTTCAAAAAACATATTATTACAGTCAAACCTTAAAAAATACTTAAAAAAAAAGGGGTTATGACTTCCAAATCACCTTGACATATCCATGGTATTTGAGATATCAGTGTTCGAAATACCAAAGTTCAACTGTATCATAATTGATCATTTCCATATACAGTACATCCCAAAGTGGAAACACAATCACATTTTTCCCCCTATTTTTTTGTGGATCGTTGTATGTTTTATAAGATTTTATCCAGTAAATAAAAGCATTCAGTATAACTTTGACCCGTACTGTAACACTTGAAACTTTTGTGTCATGTTATGCTTACCTTTGTAATTCCATGAGAATACGGCAGGAACAACTGTACACCAATATAAAGAACTGTAAAGGTTACCCCCAGCTTATGAACAAGTGAGGGGGAGGTAGGTGGGGGTGATTTAGAATATGAAGTAACTGATCCTTTACGCTAAAAAGAAAATTCTAAAATATTAAAACAATTCAAACACAGTCATTTATCTTGTACAGCTTCCCAACTTACTGAACTTGCTCATGCATCTGTAGCATACAATAATAATTAAAAAAAAATTCTTGAAAAGTCTAAAATAGTACATGAATATAAGTTTAAAGTTATGGTTATGACAATCCTACAATTGACAATTAAGCAATTTAGTAGCTTTCCATACAGATAAGAAGCCATCTGTTGTATGTTTTAATGTTAATACCTGTTTGTCTTCCTCAGGCTTGATATCTTCTTTGTTATAAATACAGTGTGAACTAGGCTGGATTTCTGAGTCTGTTGGTGTGAACATTTGAAGACATTTTGGCAGTCGGGGAATAATCTTTCTGGGCCAATCCACAGAACAAAATAAAGGCAGTGTGGCAAGCATGGCATATGGAAACATACCTTTAATTACATGTAATTAGAACATGAATTAAACTTTCAAAAAAAATGTTTCACAAGAATACTTTTTTTTCTCCCTAGAAAAATCATATACATGTACCAGTATATAGAATCTCATTATCTTTCAAGTTAGACACTATATGCACCAATCAAACCAATGTATTTTCATTTGAAATAATAAAACTGTTTACATTTCCACAAGATATATATTTACAGGACCATCATTTCAATAGAGCATTGATAAAATACCTATAGAAAACATTGTTGAGTTCATGAGATGAAATGATGACAAAAAGAAAATGGCCAGGGGTCTAGTTCTGTCAAACAGGAGAAGGATTCCTCCAAACAGATCAATAGTAAGTCCTCCTATATGTACAATAAACAGGTCTATCTGCTCATCTGTCAAAATCAACCTTAAAGAGAAACAATAAACAAATCTATCTACTCCTCTGTTAAAACCAACCTCATACAGAAGCAGTAGATGTATAATGTAGAATGATGTGCTTCTACTAGATTTTGACATGCAAATTTTCTATATTGACTTGGACACTAGCTGCCATTTGATTTCATCTTTCATGCCATTTCATCTGTACAATGAATATTTACATTTGTAAATGTTTTCCATTGTATAACACTACTTGAACAAGGTTTTTTTAAGCCTGCATATAAACAGGTTCATCACATGACTATAAATTCATTGTTAAGTCATAAATGATCGACATAATTTCACAGTGACAGTATAAGTGGTTGACATGTTCAACGCATTCAATTGATACAGTTGAGTTTTGAGAAAAAAAATTATTTCATGGGTTTCAAACTAAGTACGCAAATATTTCTTATAAATCAGTTTACAAATGTAAATACCAGTACAGTCAAACCTTGTTATCTCGAACTAAATTGGACCGAGAAAAAACTTCGAGATAGCCGAAGATTTGAGATATCCAGGGTAAAATACTTAAAGAATAAGGGGTTGGAACTTCAAAATCATATCCATGGTATTCGAGATATCAGTGTTCGAGATACTGAAGTTCAACTGTATGAGTAATAAAGTGTCATTTTTAAACATTTATTGGAATGTACATACAGACTGGTAGATGATCAAATCTACCATAAAGCCTGAAGGGCTTTATGGGATTTGATCATGTGACCAACCTGTATTTACATCCTCATAAAAGTTTTAAAATGATGCCTTATTTCTTAAGTAATGACCAAGACCTTTGTCTTCTATCAGCTGGTGTCATCTTAGGACATAACATGGAAATTCACATTCTTTAATATTTGGATCATGAAATACCTGAATGGATCAAACACCCAATTTCTGGACAACCTCTGCATGGAGTATCCAGAAATCCAGTCCAGGTCCAGCTTCTTTAACCCAGCAATGAAGTATACAAGAAAAATCTGTAAGACAAAAGGTTATAATACTTGTCATTGTGCAATACATACACTGTATACAGACAATGAAATGTTCAAAGTTAGCATGATGAAAGATTGTGTACCTGTGTTCTACAGATGAAGTAATTCCACCAGGGTACATGTGAATTGTTGATGGAACAACTGAGAAGACCATCTAATGACCTGTAGCAATAGAAAGCAAACATTTAATTTCAGTATCCAAAATAGCAATAATCAGCTTTAAGTATCCAACATTTTATCAACTACCGGTAAATGTATTGGATGGGTAGTACCTCTTGAACTGATTATAAGCTTGGACAAATGAGTTGTTCAGAAATTTAAAATATATGGAAAATTATTTAGCTAAATAACTTATTACTGTCTTAATAATTATATTAATAGTACAGACATGAATATAAACAATAAAATGTCTTTCTTTCTTTGTTAGGATAGGATTTAATGGTTGCAGCAATAAGAAAAATGGACATAACCTGCTTATGCGGGTTATCAATTTTTCTGCAATAGCTGCAAAGTTAATTACTATCCTAACAAAGAAAGTTTTGTTTATTGTTTAAATTGTATCATAAAAAGAAAACTTTTTTCCACTAAACACAACCTACCAGCATCTATTGCCATCGACTACCATTAAAAGAATTCCCATTAGGCCATACAAGTAGGAGTGATTATTCCATGCAGTTTTATCCAGAAGAAATATATACCAGTAGGTAGAACAAAACAGTAAACAGCTGGTACGGTAAAACAACCCCAATGTTATGCCAAGGGCACCTATTTAAAATATCAAAACATAGGTAATCAAAGATTACAAAGCTCACCTCGACAAACGTTATCTACAAGTAAGGCAAATCTCACATCATATTTTTTTTAGTTAGTGTTCATCCCAAGATCAATATCCATACATGTTTGGTTTAAGAAGGTCTTATAGTTACTTGGAAATAGACCTGCTCAAAAAACTTTTATCCTGTTTACTAATAAAGAAAATTTTGGTCAGTGAGTTCCAACATCCAAAGCAAGTCTGGAAGTTTTCATCCTTAGATGCACCATCCATGCAAGTTTAATCATAACATGCCATAATATTACATAGCTACTCCAAAAACATTACCCTGGTCACTCATCTGGAAAATATAGGTCAGATTCAGAATCCAAAACAATTCTGAAAGTGTCCATCCTAAGATACATCATACATGCTTATTTGATTAAGATATGGCTAAAATTCACTCATCTGAAAAATCTAGGTCAGATCCCGCATCCGAAGCAAGTGTGGTAGTGTCCATCACTAGATGCATCATCCATGCAAGTTTGGTCCAGGTAGAGCTTATAGTTACTTGGGAATGGACTTGCTCTGAAAACTTTAACCTGGTCACTCATCTGGAAAATCTAGATCAGATCCAGCATCAGAAGCAAGTGTGGTAGTGTCCATCCCTAGATGCATCATCCATGCAAGTTTGGTTCAGGTAGGGCTTATAGTTACTTGGGAATGTACCTGCTCTGAAAACTTTAACCTGGTCACTCATCTGGAAAATATAGGTCAGATTCAGCATCTGAAGCAAGTGTAGTAGTGTCCATCCCTAGATGCATCATCCATGCAAGTTTGGTCCAGGCAGGGTTTATAGTTACTTGGGAATAGACCTGCTCCAAAAACTTTAACCTGGTCACTCATCTGGAAAATATAGGTCAGATTCAGAATCCCAAACAAGTCTGAAAGTGTCCATCCCTAGATGCATCATCCATGCAAGTTTGGTCCAGGTAGGGCTTATAGTTACTTGGGAATGAACTTGCTCCTAAAACTTTAACCGGGATGCCGACGCCAATGCCGGGGGTATAGCATAAGCTCATCTCGACTTCGTCGAGGTGAGCTAAAAATATACACTCAGTGAAAGTATCCTCCATCTTAATTCTTGTTCCATAACATATACAATTCACTTTTTACTGTTTGGTATAAGGCTAATTATCTAATTTCTGAAAATGTATATTGCTTTTCCTTGACAAAAAAAAGAAGACTTTTTTCTTTTAATTAAAGACATAAAACACAGCTGAATCAATATTAAAAGGGATATATATCAGTTACCTATAAACATGATGAGATAAATAATATACATCCATTCCAGTGGGGCCACTTTGAGAGCAGAAAAGAGAGGGAACCTGCACACATCTTGTCGGCCCCACCTGACATCAGCATGAGACATCCCTCTCTCCTGAGGTATATCAACCATCATCAGAATTCCTTAACAAGAATATCAAGAACATTTATTCCACTGCATCTTTAAAAAAGCTCATGGACCATTACACTGGTCTAAAGTTCCTTGGTTTTACTGAACATTTTAACACTTAAATCTAAGAAACATGAAGGTCCTCTTTGTTATGGCAAAGTGCAAACTGATGATGTTAAATCTCTTCATCTACTGTGTCATACTTCAGCTTCTTAAGGAAATAGGTGATCAAGTGTTATCAAAATTATATAATTCATAGTGAATGCTGTGCAAATACTAGTTAAACATAATGATCTGTAACTAATAAAAATGACAAATGTATATTTGTTTGATTAGCTAATCCACATGGGGTTTAGATTATAATCCTTACCAAAAGCAATCCTTAGAACTGCCAGATTAGCTGGGTCAGTAGGATGACATAGATATCTAACAAGAGTCGATAGTGATGTCATATCTCTAATGCTGTCCACATGTCTGTCTGGCATCTTCATTGGCTTTGGATCAATTTTATTCTTCATTTTTACATCAATTCCTCTGTAAAACAATCAAGAAGAAAAAGTGTAGAATTTATACATTTATAATATTCATGATTGTAATTTACTGCATATATACCAATTAATATTATACATTTTTTGTGCTTTGGCATAATACGTTGTCTTTAAATTATATTTATAGTTATTATCTTAATTATATTTACCTGTAATTCAGATTGAGATGCTAGCTATAGTACTCACAGGCTGTACAAAACACCTCGTCTGCTTCAGGTACTATGTAATCCCAGCATCAATTTCATTTACTGTTCTGCATCTCCATTACTCAATGCCTTTCCTGAAAAATGACAATATAATAGTCTTGACTTATTGCTTTTTCACTGTCATTATCTTACACTGTTAACATTATCAATGCATGTATATAATTGTTTCACAAACAGCTGCTGGGATTGCCATATCTGAGATATTAATCTGTCCAAACATACATCAGAAAGGCTTCTTTATTCAAAACGTGATCGCAGCTCCGTCTCGACTGAGACATGAAATGAAATGAGGGGAAAAAATCAATAAGCTGTCAATTGAAGTCAGATAAAATGTACTAATGAAACAAAAAAGGATATAGTCCTAAATGGTGAATTTTGACAAACTCAAAAGCTCTATTATTGAGTTTGATTTAAAAATGTATTATATATAATTAAACTTTATGAAAGAAAGATGAACAAATGAAGGGTTTTATTTTTAATTCGAACACTCAGGATTTAATTGTTTTTTTTACAAAGGTATGCATAAGGGATGTAGTATGTACTCTTAGCTTATAATATTTAAAAAATATTTAAATTCATAAATTTGCATTAAATCTTTACACATTCCCTACCTGCTAGGCTGCTAGCGACTCTTTTGCAGACACATGTGATGTAAACTTCCTGTTTGTTACAAAGGAATATGGAATCTTTTTTCAGTCATAAAGCAATAAAAATATACATTCAGCATGTTCAATAGTCGTGAATTCGAACTTGTCCCTAATCTTATAGTAATCTTTTTCATGCCTTGTCTAAAATATATCCTCCGATACATGTCTTAATAGGTGCATGTGGCACAATAATATCTACAATCGAGGATAAGATAGTGCATAGGTCATAACACTAAGTACTCTGAAGATGAAAAGGGGGGGGGGGGTAACTTCAAGACTTTAATTTCGATTAGTTCATCACTCTTCATTTTTAGTAGATCAAAATTTTCATTGCAGCAAATGAAGAATCTTCTAAATGTAGTAGTCTTTTGCACCTCAGACATTGCATCGTTGTATTTATTGGCACCTATTAAAGTGTTTTAAAAGCATCCTGTACCATAGGACAGTGGCGGATCCAGGAATTTTCAAAAGGGGGCCTCCAACCAGTTTGGGGTTGGGGTAGGGGCCCACGGCCACATCAAAAAATTGATTTATTAGATCTTCTGTATATTTTGGAAACAAAAGGGGGCGGCCCCCCTGGGTCCCCTCTAAATCCGCCAGTGCCATAGGGTTCAACATCTCTCTGTCCAGTCACATATAAAATTTTGTTTGTTTTTCGGTATAATGTTTTTTCAAAAGATTTCTTATTAATAAGTGTCATAGTATAAGCATATCTTGCGGTGTAAAATTTCACAGAAAACACCTTTCGACTTAACATTTAATTTAATATCATTAAGTAAAATATAACGAGAGTCTAAATAGATCAAATATTATTTATTTATTTATTTATTTATTTATTTATTTATTTATTTATTTATTTATTTATTTATTTATTCATTTATTTATTTATTTATTTATTTATTTATTTTGTTTTGTTTTGTTTTGTTTTGTTTTATTTTATTCTATTCTATTTCATTTTAATTTTTTTTATAAATTCATTTATTGTTATCTTATATTAAAAAATTCTCGGGTTGATAATTAACACATTCTTTCACAATTTCTCGTTCTTTGCTGTTAAATTCATTTAAAAAAAAGACTTACCAATGTGTATGTAATGTTTATCCGATTTTCTTTCCATATATATATTTTTTTTTATTGTAAACAAACTTTTGTTCGAGAAAAAATATGCTAGATGTTTTTGTATCTTTTTAAAAAATATGAATTGAGTTCGTTATTGTGTGAATGCTGTAATGTCAACTGTAAGTTACATTAATTACTTTTTTTTCAAACCAAATACGAAACTACGGCAGGTTCCCCCAATCAGCTGCTCGAAATAGCATTGTTAGATCAAACATGGCTGAAATCGAAGTGGATCGTTTCAACTCGTAATGTCAACATACATTTTAATGGCGTGTGATCGGTAGCATGTCCTGTGACACACATCATGGAGGAAAGGTACAAGGAACTCTTAAAAATTCATCATGAAAAATTTGTCAACACAATTGAAGTCGATAGACTCTACCCGTTTTTACAAGGCGCTCAAGTGCTTGCGACCGATGACATATTGGAAATAAACAAACACCACAGAGGCGATGAAAAGGTCGAAAAACTACTGGAAATTATCCAACAAAAACCCGATTTTCCTTTCCAGAATTTGTGTTTTGCTTTACAGTCCACATATCCCCAATTACTAACGGCAATGTTTCTTGGACAGAATCACCGGGATCCACGCACAGGTGAGACGTTTATCAGACTAATCAATACATGTGCCAAAGGAAACTTCTCAATGTCATCATGTTATAGACAAGTCTGCAGAACAAGTAGTTGTAAGGTCACAAGTAAAATTGATATTCTATTATCAATACACCACTCTGATTTGCATTGAATGAAATAATGAAGTTAATATAAAACCTGTAAACATGGATATCTCTATATAAGGAAGTCTTGTTTCAAGACCATATTTTAGGAGTTTTTTGAAGGAAACTGTTGATGTCATGAAAAAGATATCAAAACTTTGCAATCCACTTCAAAAATTCATTTCAAATACTGTATATATATCATTGAAATTTAATTATAAGTTGTTATAAAACATTTGTAGGAGGAAGCCCTCTGGACATCTTGTATCTCAGAAGTAAGTTCTATTTATAAATGTAGGTACAAGTACTAAGTGGATATATACCAGGGTTGTCCCTAAGACCCGGGGTTGGGGAATTTCCCTGCTTGATATGATTGATAGCGTAATCCCCTGGTTATTCTGGTATTCCCCCTCAACCCCCTGTTAGGGGAGGAACCCCAACCCCCCCTTCTACTTTTTCAATCAATCAATGCCCCCTGCTATTTCAATTCTTATGGACAACCCTGTATACTATTTAAAAAAAAAAAACAACAAGAAATGAGTGTCTATGTACCAAACTTTTGGAAAATCATACATGAAGCATTAGTTTTGAATAGAACTTTCCCTGAAGAGTTTGTCAGCATTCCTGAACATTACAAAATCTCAGACATACAGAAAGCCATTCATATCCTGATTGAATGTAAAGAATTGAGATGCTTATAAGAATGGTGTGGGCTATAGAGATAATTGGGGGTGGGATGGGGGGGGGGGGATAGAAATTCAACTTGGGAACCTTAGCTTTTGGTTGCCCATATGAATAATAGACACAGTGTGCAATATACACTGAAAAAAAAAAGAAAGGAAATAAGACACATTTTAACATCATTGCATTTATTTCTGTTATTAAAATAGATTAGAGTGACACATTGACAGATCTATATGCCTCTTGGTACTTTTGTTGAAGTGTTCTGTATATTGTTTTTAAATTTAAAACGTGAGCATTTTTAACCTGCATTCATTAGGCTGTTTTATACTACAGTACAAATTAATGAACCTTTACTTTCTTTTTAAATTCATTGGAACTTGAATTTAAATAAACAGAGAAAAGATTAATGAGCTGATAACATTTACCCAAATTATTTATTCATTAATATCTGTTCTTTGAATTTCCTATCAGGAAATTATAAATTTGACGATTTGAAATTATGTTCAAATAACACATTACATGTAGTACATGTACATTGTTTCAACTTCATTATTACCGGTATATCCAGTCCTTTGTTTGAATCTCCTTGATTAACAATTTATTACATTGAAGACTTTTTTCACTTCTTTAAGATAAATGATAGAAAACTTATTCCATGTGACTTCAACTTAAAAAAAAAGTTTATTATCTATTAAAATAAGTCATGTAAGAAAAGTAAAATCTTTGATCTTTATTTCTGTGAATTCATTGTACTGTTGGTGTGTTTTGTTTTTGTCTGATGAATGATTCAGTGGTACGTAGTGCACAGTAAACTGAACTAAACTGGTACATTGTGACGGTAGTGGGACAACTAGACATAGACGTATGACAGTTGATAATATATTGTAGGGACCAGTCAAGCATGGTGCTTCAACCTATTACACTGCACTTTTAATTACCAAAAACCACCCTATTGAATTCATGTCCTGCTTTAATCAAAGATAAGGCCCAAACCTTGACAGTGGCACACACAGTATTGCCAGAGGAATAAAGAAATTAAAATGGTGATAAGGCCTTTGTTTTGTAAAGTGTTGATCGAAGATAATTACAAATGTGTCTTGACATATAAGATTGCACACACCCTGTTCTTTTGCGCAACTAGATGATAAATTTGTTTGTTCAGACAAAATTAAATAAAAGCTATTTTTTACAGGTAGTAGTTAGCTATTTTTTACAGGTAGTTTATATTGATCAGCTGATTCTGTTGTATGTGCACAGTATGTTAATATTTACCTTTGTAATTCAAAGTATATGTGCACTTACTCATTGCACATAAAAGAGTATTGTACACATTAGCATGAATATCACATGGCATGCCAAATCACATGAGTACCTTTCAGTATAGGTCAACCTGAAGTTATAATTACCTCTAACTAATAATACCTGTGTAAAAGTATGCATTTGATACCACAAATTTATGTTTGTCATTATTATACTACATGTATTAAGGTAGCGTAGAATATGTAAAATTAATTAAAAAGCACCCAATGACCAGGTTATTTATACTGGTTCTGTCATTCTTCCTCACACTCTAACATGATCAGTGTATCATTTTCAAGGTAGAGCTGATCATTTTAAATTTCACAAGAAACTTGTAGTTATATCCATCAAAGCCTGGACTGACAGTAGTGTGTTTAGATGATCAATGGTAGTCCACAGATGTGAACCAGCTGTCAATAATTGTCATTTCAATGTGCTTTAAAAGGAGATTCAATGTTAGGAGGGCTTAAACATACTATCAGACTCTTTCCTTGTCAAAAAATGAAGTCTCTGTTGGTCATCGTTTGAGAGCTGTCATCAAGTTATTCTCTGTACTTCCTTTTTACCTATGTCAAAACCTGATGACACATATTTATCTCTCTG